AGACTAGGCAAACAATTCCGTTCACCTTTTAAAAACTCGTTGTACGAGTACTAATTTTTTGAAGAGCAGGGTCGCGAGAGACGGGACGCAAACGATTAAACCGGCTTTTCATCAGATGCGAGGGCGCGCGAGAAAAAGCAGTTAGTTTTCCTTTCGTGTTCTGATCGAACCGACGCCGGAAAACCCCAACGTGCACGAGACAGCGAAAGCACTCGAGAAAATCTCTCGTTCGTCCGGCGAGCAATTGATTGCCGAAGAAAAGTGTTCGCGGGAACGCCGACCTCTCGTCGACAAACAACCGTGGACCTACCGGCGTGGTTCGGCCATAGTACATAGGCTAGTACACATCTATTACTCGCTCTTTCACGGAAACGCGCTAAATCGAAATTCGAATCGGGAGACGCAGACATTACTCCCCCATAAGTGCTGTCGGAGAATGTACGGGATATAAAGCCGCGATAACAGCGAATGTATCGACAAGCGCGACCGCGCGTTTTCACACCTCGATAAATTTCTCATTATCGACGTTGCGATGTTGTAGATGCATTTCGTACTTGACTCGATGGAAAACGTAGAGACTAATTTCCCCGATCGATTTTTCTTCTGAAAAATATATATCTCATCAATTTCTCCAAAAAATATATGTTATAAATAGAAAATCATACAATGCATCTTCTGTTGCAACATATCAAAAGTTTAAACGTATATTGCTGTGAAAGAATAAACTCGTTAGAAATTTTACACCTCCATCATAAAAAAATACGTTCTGTTTTAATACACCTTTATTATTTTATATATTATAACATAATAACACTTTTTTATTTTATATATTATAATAACGGTTTTATTATTTTATATAATATAATAATAATTTTATTATTTCATACAATATAATAATTTTCTTTCTCTCCCAAATATTGCGTAAAAATAACTATCTCATAATTAAATTAACCTGGCACCTATAAACGAGATTATTTTGTTTACTATGTATCATAAGGAATAAAAGTATTTCCTCTTTTACCAAAAATGACAATAAAAAAGAGAAATGCTGGAGCTTTTTATAATTATCAGAAAAAGTTACTAAAAAGTATTTGCAATCAACTAGAAGTCTCTGTCAGATTTAACTTCGAATTACTTCTAATTTAATTAGCATGTATGATAAGAATAACTATTGCTTATGCTCCGATTCATTAGATTTACCAATTAAAAGAGTTCTCCCTCTGATTGATAAATCTAATGAAAAAATCCTATACCTGATCGTTATAAATAGTTGTGGGCAACCACAATGTGAGCAAATAGGATGCCCCCAATAACAATCGTTGCTTCTACTTCGATAATCGACTCAGTTTTGTTAAAAATAGAAATATTGAGATGTTAATTAATTCGGTGAGTAATAATTGAAAGTTTGCTCGAGTTATTTCATATTTTTTTAATTATGTTTTGTACGCCGGAGATCGAAATAATAGGGAGAGAACAGTTTGTCTGAATATACTATAGATAGCCTCTTGAAATTCGCGCTGGTACATTTTATAATTTAAATTGATGAAGCTGTTACATCAACCTAATTGCATATTTTACCGTATTTTTACGTTATATAACTATCAGAGATACAATTAATTCTCTTATTACTACATCAATAGGTACAACAAATTGTAAGTAATTATAATAAATTGTATTGTCTTTTTAACTCATTACTTGTTTTAATTATATTGTCTTTTTAACTCATTATTTGTTTTACACATTTATGTATGTATATATTGAATCCATAAAAGCTTGATGCAGATTAATAATTTATATTAAATAATTATTTATGAGTTTTGAATGCAACGAAAAAATAAAATAAAAGCATTACAAATTGGAAAATGTAATGTTACATCGACGAGAACTGATTATTGAAAAATTACGCTACTGTAATTATGTTGCCAAATGGTAGATATAATTCACTTAAGATCTTCTTCACTCAATTAATGAAAATTTATAGTTACTAATAATTATCAAAATTATCAATTATCAAAAATTCTCTATTATAAAATACATCAAATATTAAAATAAATAAAGAATTTGTAATTATATTTTAATTTCTATATTTACAATATAATATTTATATTGTATTTTAAAATATAGTAAAAATTAAAATGCAAAAGCATACATACTTTGTCGAAAATATATTTCTAGCAGTTACTGTGGATATGTTTAAATATGTGTATATCTGTTTTACTCGATTAAGTTTCACGTAAACTTCCCATCTTCGCTATCCGAGCGTAAGAGAGAGAGAGAGAGAGATGCATCGTATTTCATAACTAGTTCTTCCTGGCAAAACTCGTCTCGTGTTCTAGCTCAATTTCCGCTTTCCGGTCTGTATAGTCTATAGGTATATTTTGGCGTTTTGGCCCATATTTCTGAGAAAACTTTAGACAGCTATTACGGTCGCTGAGCTATCGGTGAAGAAAATTGTGACGCTAAAGCTGGAGCTTCCTATTGTAAATACTTCGTCTAATTTCAAAAACATAGGGTCATAGAGTATTTTGTTTAGAACTGCATCTAGCGTTAAATTTCTGGCTATTGGATCTGTCTAATATTTTTATACTTTTTATACTTTCGAAATTTGTTTTTATTATTTCAATGGCGAAAAAATATATTTAAATACTAGCAATTTACAGAAAAAATATTATCGATTTATAGAAAAAATATACGTGAATTACTGAAATGACGATTACTTTCTGATTGCGATTCGTAGCGAGCGATACGATGGATATTGTGACAAAGCCCTTGGCGAGACAGATGTCAATGTTCACGCGTTGTCTCGGTTTTTTTTTTCCGGTGGAAGAGTGCGCGAAATAAAGAAAGGGGAGAACGGTACGACAAAGCTATTCGGATTCACTGATCGGTCAATAACGATTTCCCCAGGAATATAAATGTCTCCGCGAGCAGCCAACCGACGCCGTTCAGTTCGGAGTAGGTACCGCTTTGCCTTTTAATCTTGTAGCTTCGCCTCTTTTAATCTCGTTCCATCGACGTTCCCCTTCCATAACTGAACGGGCGCAATTTCTCCTTTCGCTCGTCCATCGATCTAACCGGATGTGCGTCCGCGGATGGACCCTCTCTTGCGTTACGCAGGATTACGTACCAGTGAGCATGACTCATACAGCCAAATCAGAATATTTCATCGATACACATTGGAACAGTCATTGCTTTACGATATTTTCATATGTACAGTACAGTAGTCAATACAGTAGTCCATCTCTACTGCATCAAAGGGCAGTGATAAAAAATAGTTCGGATTTACGGTTTATGTGGAGAATAAAAGAAATTGCATACAAAATGCATTAAGATAAAAGAGATTGCATGCTTGCATCTTACATTTTAAAATAATTAAAAGTACCCATCTATCTTTTACGAACGAGAAACATGAATTGCAAAAAACAATCCAACATATTAAAGACAGATCTTCTTTATGATAAAATAACCTTGTCATCATCCAAATCTAATATTATAAATCTAATTTGATAAAATTATTAACATTTTATAATATATTATTTTGTATCAATTTTTTTTTTAATTTTTACTGAACATATACAATATAATTCTACTATTGTTTATCATTGTTTATACCATTTAACGAGCTTCAAAGTTTAATCTTAATTTAAAAAAACATTTTTCAAATACATGTAAAAATCTTTTTTATTTTCAAATTCTGCGTGCATTGTTAAAATATTTTTCATCAAAATGCGATAAAAAATCGAAAACGTTAAAACTTTTTTTTTAATCATTCATAAACATTTTTATATTAGCCAAGAAATATATTTATAATAATATATTATCGAGCTATGGAAATGAATTTATTCAAAAGCCAGCAAATTCTATTAATATGCAATTAGTTGCATTAATAATTAGATTCGTAAGTTCCTATTCTTACTAACTTCATTTTAATATATTATAATTCACGAATTCATTTTAGTAAATTATAATTCACAAATTTATTCAGGTAACTTTGTCAGCAATAATACATATGGAATTTAGATATATTTATGGGAATTCATTTAAATTTTTTTATCCAAATGTTTAAATTAAACTTGATTAATAAAAAGCTTATCCATTAAATCGCACTCTGTTATGCCAGCGTTTTTAAATTTATTTCTTTATTACTGTTTTTTATCTTACTATATTTAATATCCTAAAAGCATTATACGAAATCGAGGACAGGAGAGAAATTGTTTTTTACGTTATTAAGATTGCCCCGTATGCATTTAATACTATCCGGTCTTATAACAGATGCAGCAATTATTCATGCATAAAATGCACGTGATTATTCTCTAACGCAAATGAGGTAGTAGCTTTGAAATGAGGTAATGCACGTAATTTTAACGAATAAGCGACCACAATGAACCTAATAAACTGAAGTTCCGCGATTTGCTCACCGGGACGTGTAATGTATGTAACGAAGTGGAAAGTTTTCACCAGCTTTCTGAAGCTTCAATTTATAAGAAGAGATAAATAACTTAATAATAATAAATAAATAAGTATACGTTTAATACATCAAAAGTACACTGCTCAAAGTGAAAAATTAATAACGTTATAATCTCTCTTTTCTCTATACATGTAATATTATTGTTGATATAATGGTCGCCATGTTTTTAATAAATTTTAGAGATCGATAAATACGATAAATTACCGTATATAATGATTATCATGAAATAGATGCAAAATGGTTCGCAACTTCTCTTCTCGCGTAATCTTTTCGATCTTATATAAACAACTACCGATGATATTTCTTGTGAGATATTGAGAGCCTCTTCGACAACGAACGATCGGTCGAAAAGCCGATCTACCTCCGAGGCCATTCCTTTTGCTCTCGAGCAACTTCGCGACGATGCTTGAGGATATCTACGGCGAAAACGCTGAAAGATTCGGTACCGTAACAGTCGGACCGGGCGCATAAATCAGCTGCACAGGCTCGTGTGAGGGAGGTGACGACGCCGGCAGGCCACCCCGTCAATAAAATGCAAAGACGAAGAAATAAAGTTAAAGATAAGCCGCCCCCGGACCCACACCGAGAGTACTTGGACGCCGAGTCCAGCGATGAAGCGGAAAGGCGCAGTAAGATTTACGAGAAAAATATTAAACGCATCCACATCCCTCTCTCTTTCTGTCTCTCTCTTTCTCTCTTCCTCTTTCCAGTTTCTTCACTCTCGCGATTTTCCGCTCCTTTTTCACAGCTCTTCTCTTTCACTCCGCCTGTTCTATTTTCGACATCTTCGAGCCGACCATCGTTTCCAACCTCTGTTTTGTACAATCTCGCCGTGCAGGTCCCTTTAATTCCCCCATTAAATTTTGAAAGATACTCGTGGAATCGATAATGACACACGAGCAACATTCGTGAGGGGAATATTAAAATATTCCCGTTTTCCACACGATTCTCGATGGCGAGGTTATCCGCTTTATTCAGCGTGACTGCATCATTTTTTCCCAGTATATTCTAAGTCATGATGTACGTAATTCCGTTATCACTAGGCGCGACATCCCATGATTGATACGTTCTACTGATAAATTTTTGAATACTTCATTACAGCGTGGCGTTGATTAATTAAGCATGGACGGATTTATTTAATTTATTTACTAGTTCGCGCAAATCGCAACCGTATAATTTCCTCGATACTTGTGCAAATATTAACAAGGCGGCAATAATAACGACCACGTTAACCATATAATGCAGCTAATTTGAAGCAAGTTGGCTCGACAGCGACGAGCTCGAATTTGAACATGGATTCGACGCGATGGCCGCATTCAATTTGCAATTACAATGGCTGCTTTGTACGCTGAATGCCGCGAGTGCATTCGATAATCATAAATTCCGCAATAATTTTAAAGACTAGATAGATGTGTATACGAGAGTGGGAAAAGGAGAGAGAAATGGAACGTACAATTGCTCGTCGAGAGTGCTCGGTATATTAACAAATCCCGAATCTCTATTTCACAAATTATAATATATCGCGCGTAAGCCGGCCACTTGCGGCGATTAATCGATCATTCGCAGATTTCGCGCAGATTGCCCGCTTCCTAATTTGTCCCCGGAATTATGGCAATTTACTCCCCTTCGACTCCTCCCCCATTTTCCCCTCTCTGCGATCGCATCCGCCGCTCGCTGGCGAAAATGAAGCTAATTCGTCCTCCCGCGAGTTCTCGTGATACTTGCACGATCCGCGAAAGTAGGTAAACTTGGTAAACCGATAATCTGTATGAGAGCTAGCTACGTGTAGCTACGTCTATCTACCACGAATTAACGTTATTATCCGAAGAATCTGTTCTTCTTCGCGGGAAGAAATTTGTAGGATCTACAAATCCGTGATCCGCAAACAATTAACGTCAAGTTACGTTACAAACGATAGAGGACAGCGATTTTGTCCCTCGGTCGACTGCGGTAAAAAACCTTCTATCTGATCTCACATTAATCTATAGAGACCGCGTAAATTCAATTATCCGTACGACAGAATGACCGCGTTCCTTGCATTAAAAAAGAAAAGAAATCAAATAACAATGTTTCAATCTCTAAATCGTATCCTGAAGCTTTTCTTTAAAATTATGGTGTCTGCTGTACATAATATTTTAACGTAAGAACTTCATTATTATTTTAATAAACAATAGATATTATTAATAAACAATTAAAATAATATAATAAAAGAATAAATCAATACTAATTCTTACCATCTTGCTAGAATTTATCATTCAAATCGTCTGATTCTATTTATGACTTTTCCTTCACCGTGCTGAGCACGATAAAGTTTAACAACTACTTAATAATATTTTGCGACAATATCCGCGAGAAAGTATACACGCGAGACTGATAAGTCGCTGTATGTCGCGAAAGAAGACATCGTCGTATCTGCATAATGTCCGCTATCATAGCGGAAGGATAAATCGCTCCAACGTGGCCTACGGTAGCGTCTCTCGATCGCGACGCGACGTGTTTCCTCTTCCGTCGATTTACTAGCTCTACTTGCGATTTATAGTTCCTATTAGATTGCCAAGAGCAAAGGCACGGATGGCGAACGGGCGGCGACGATGGATCCCGGGATGGGATCGAAACGGCCCGAGGAATGACATCGGGACGAACGAGAGACCCTTAAAACGAATGTCTTCTATTTAATCTGGCTGGCGGATTTAGGAGGACCCATCGCGCCGCCGCTTCAATTGACGACTAACGAACGGCCGGCGCGTCCCCTGGAATTTGTTTCCTCTTCGCAATGACCCTTATTAGTTACGAAAGAATGCCTTTTCAGCGAACGCGGACACGCATCGCGCGGGGAGATCGAATTCTGTTTTCAGAATTCGCGATCTATCACGGTGGAGATTGTCAAGCAGAACGAAATTGTTGCAGGTGAAGAAGAGGAGGATATGGACGAGTTGCTTCCGATGTACAAGACGGACGAATTGAACGAATTGGTGAGTATAAATTAAGCGTCTCTCTGCCGACTTTATATATATATAATATTTTTTATTTATATTATAAATCAAATCTATAATTTTTTTAAGATTAAATAATATTTTTAATTTTTTTAATATTTTTAATATTTTTTAATATTTTTAATTTTTACAGCAACACTTGTCTCGATATTTACACCAGAAAAATAGCAGATGATATTATATTGTAGAAACTATATTTAAATAATTTGGATTAACCTCTATATTGAAACAATATTGCGTATTTTCTGAAGTAAAATTCTGAAGTAAAAACAAAGAAACATTTATTCGTGCGTTTGTATCGAGAGCAGGGACTCGGAAAAACTCGGTACTATTTTTCAGATTCGGTGTGTTAAGGATATGACGACGCTGAGGGGTCTGACGGACAGCGATTGGACGTGGAAATGCGATATGGACATCCGCGAGTTCTTCCACGACCCGAGCATTCCGGTCCTCTGCGTCTATCACGTAGACGATGACCTGACCACAGAATTTTCATTTCCTATGGTACCCGTGCACGAGTTAACCTACTTCGTGAGACAGCCCAACGAGATTCTCTATCCGGGGAACTTTCGCGAGCGCATTCTCTTCGGGTCGTTGAACGACAAGGTGGAGAGCCATATACTGGACGTCATTCAGAACGTATTTGCGCCGATCTTCTTCACAATCGAAACTTGGCCGGACAGTATCCTTTCGCTCTCTTTCGCTATCTCTCTGTCTGTGTTATTGCACTTCCGTCAAAGTATCCAATTAATTCGCGCAAATAATGCGGAAAGTTCTGCGCAGAGTGGCACGAGACCGAAGGACGCGAATTCGTCAAGATTCGTAACGATAGGCCCCAAGGAGAAAGGCTTGCAAAGTTTTCTCATTTTTTCAACCTCTTCTATTTTTCTTTTTGTTTCGGCAAATAATGTACGTGTACAGATCGCGAGTTGCGGAACTTTAATTGGGTATAGGCGTGATATCCCGTCTTCTTGCGAATCCTCGAGTGACCCACTTGAGACCGCGCTTCGTCGTGCGATGTAAATTCTGTTTAACTTTCAAATCCCGCGGCCGGTTGATTTTGCAGTCGGCGGTGATTTAAAGTTTTTCGCGGATTTTAAATGTACGTTTAAAAAGCTCCACTGCCGAAGGACGCCCAGGGGACACATCGTGCGTTTTATCTCCCGTTCGAATCCGTTGATTCAATCCATGATATATACTGATATATGATCGATTTTTGCGAACTCAATTTCAATCCAATCGAGGCAATTGGATTTCCGGATATTCTGCCATTGTTAACTTTACATGTAGCCTAATCCTTTTATTTTTCGTCACATAACACGAATAATTAGTATGCTCTCTTCCCCAAGTATATACTACTTTTAAATGCCTCTTTAATTATTATAATTTCTCATATCTTAGAATTTATCACAATAATTTACAAAACAGACACTCTTCTATAAGTCAGTAAACACGATAAACTTTGAAAATGTTGCTGTCTAACTAATTTAGGTGTCTGTTACGATAGTACGATAATCCTGTATGCATACAAAGTGATCGATGAGTGGCTGTAGTGCCAATTCGTGATAAAGGAACTATGGCGAACCGATCCTACAATGCCAAGGGCGATCATCGCGATCGTCCATAGTTGCTCCGGCTTAAGGTCATAACAATCTAACGTGATGACACTACCAACTGAATTTCCAACTTTAGCACTGCAATCCCGTTACCGCAACGCACGACGCAAAGTTCCGGACCGTCCGCGGCACGGGCGACGGAAAAGCGGGGACACACCAGGGAATTGCATGAAGTTATTATTACCATAATTTTCGGCTAAATGCACTGCACAACTCACCGTCGCTGGTAAATCTAGCGTCGATGTTTGCCTACGTATGCGAACGGGATTACTCCGCTGTCGAGTTAGAAACGATTGCATTGCATTCGCGGACGGAAGCCACTTCATTATTTCTAATGGATCCTGAGCGGGTTTTAACCTGATCGAAGCGTCGCTTTGCTAATTGTACATTCAGCAACCTCGTTTCCGTACCGTTTTTTCATCTCCGCAAGGTATTTCGCTCGTAATTAATTCATCTTACGATTAGTAATTTAAATCTTTCAGTCTATATAAACGTGTGATTAATATTTTTCACAGAAAAATGTACATATCGTTCATTCTATGAGATTCAAAGGGAAGCATACGCATGCAATCGTTAATGATAAAAGATATGTAATACAACGTTTGAATATTCTCACAATATTAATTAAGATTTAAGCAAATTATTGTCATTCAAATCGTCGCAATCTTTTTTTCCCACTTTTTCCGATTATTGTATTTTCGATAAGATCTACACAATTGCCCGCACCGATTATAAATTGATGTGACAATGACAAGCTAGTCGATCATTTCGATGCACCGTGAGCAATTCAGTTCAATAAATCTCCATCAGCGGGAACGTAGCGGTCGTGTGCCCGCAATTCCATGTGATAGATGTCGGGCGATATAAAAAAAATGGTAATATTGGGAACAGCGATAACTAGGTTTCTCAGTGTCCTGTCACGTTCTTGGATTCCCCCTTCCTTAATCGCACCGAAACACATGTGTGAAAGCGGACTTCTGCACCAAACTGGACACCTTTCTATGCAATTTAACGGACCTCACGTACAAAATGCTGGGCTTAACCGTGATATATGTACCTCTGGAGAATAGGGAGTTCACCGTGGAGGAGGGTAGCGCCGATAAGGAGTTGGTGAAGAGGATGGAGGGTGTGCTGGCCCATTGGAACACCCAAATCAAAATAGCCCTCTCCGATCAGGAACAAGCAACTCCGCACGAGTTATTATGCCTCGACGACGAATATGACTTCTGGACTTATCGATGTAAGTGCTTATTCCTAAGAAAAGACATGGTAGCTACGAGGATAGAATCGTGTTTCCCGATAATATATATCCGTGAGATTTCCTAGGAGGGATAAAAGTTTCCTTTAATGCGAGACGTTTTAGCGGAATCCCTTTGTCATGTGTACCTTATAGAATTACGAAGAAACTTATATCACTTTGGAACTTTTAATCGTGGTAACAGTAGAATTCTTTTTCGCTTTTACCAACTTTTGAGAAAATTTTATTCAGCCGTGCCATAATATTGATGACTTACTTCAATGTGCCATATTTTTTTTCATCAGACGACAACCTATGCGGTTTAAATCATCAGTTGCATAAAAGCATGGTGGAGCTCATTATCGACATATTATTGGCTGCACAGTCCACTTACGTGCGGCAATTCCTGATGTTGAAGGAAGAAATCGAGCACGGTACCATCGAAGCAAAATCGAACATCGAGTTCCTGAGCATTCTGAAGGACACTTGTGCCGAATTGAAGACTTGTACCACTCCTGCAAGCGTGGCTCAATACCTGCCAAAAATGATGCACCTCTTCAGGACGATTTGGTTGAACTCCCCGTACTACAATACCAGCGAGAAGATAAGCAATCTCTTCAGCGCGCTCAGCAATCAGATCGTCATTATGTGCAAAGACTTCATCGATTTAGCAGATGTATTTGCGGGGCGGACTAAAAAGAGTATGAAATTGTTGGACGAATGTATAAAATTGTGCGAGGATTATAAAACTCTTTATTATAAGGTAAATTACATAGACTTAACTTCTGCAGGGATGAATTTATCGGAAGAAATTATTTTCTTTTTTTAAATTTTAGTTTGTCTCCAAAATATATTTATAATTAGTAAACAAAACAGAATAAATTGAATAACATTTGAAATCTCTCAAAAAAATAATGTGCACATATATGGCTATTTTGCGTTAAGATTAACTATTCGCGTGAAAGGATTTTATATATTAAAACTAATATATTTTTTTTTCATGTGTTGATATATACTTAAAGAGATAAATATTTTTTTATATTAATATAAAAAATATTAAATGCTTTTGTAAAAACAATGTTTTTGTGTAAGATTTATAGAGCCTAACTTATAGAAAAGAATTTTTAATCATTCGTATATAGCACATTTACACATTTTATGTCAATATAGAATTATTACATATTTTATCAGTTTAATTAAAACTTAATCTCGAATTTTTTTTTTAGGAAAAGTAAAATATTTATCATTTAACAAAAAATTCATTTAGTTTAACTTTAATTAACTACGCGAATTAAGCCATTATGCAATAATTATAATAATAATACATATTTACATATAGCTTTTAGACTTGCGCATATTTATTTTAATAGTTAATAAGTAAAAGTACATACCTCTCTAAAATACATATAAGTTCAAAAGCCGGCTTGTGACCGTATACACGAAAAGCGTATAAAACGTGGTACTTTATGCTATCTGCAAATTCACCTTCCACAAGCGGTGAGTTAAACTCCCATTAAATTATGTGTGCACAGTTACTTTAGCTACTTGGATCCCTCGTTGGACAACGCGAGGAAATGAAGCTCTCCGTTAATGCGGAGGAGTTACAAAGTGATTTCGGTTTTCAGCAGTAATTATGATTGGAAATGATATAATTTCAAGTTGTGTAACGGGGCACAACCAACGCGAAAACTATCTCCCCAAAATGGTTTCCTACGAGTTTAGAGTCGCAAATAAACGTTTGCCCTAATGAAATTAAAATTTAAAGATGGAATAGGACGCGAGTCTGTCTTAGAGAAATGTTCCCCTTAAAAGTACAAAGCAGCCAGATGAAAAGAGGCTTTCTCTTCAAGTAGAGATCGCAATATAACACCGACTTACGTTCCTCCCGTGGGCAGATAAGCCGGAATAGAAGTGGGAATTGGGAAACGGTGTGACGATGCGTCGACTCTCCTGACTACTTGTTCTCGAGTTGCGCCACGGTTAGCGCCATGTGTGCCCGAAGGGATAGGTGACACGACTCCTTAGACTTTTGTGCAGAAATCCGTGCAATCGCATTACGTACCGTTTTACGGGTCGCTAACGCGCGTGTCCACAGTTCCTCACGTCTTTCTTACGTTACTCGAGCAGTTTCGTTCTTTCAAAGTTACACAACATACATTATTATAATATAAATATAACATTTATATAATTGTAATGTAACATTTTATACAAGTAAATATTAATACAATATATACATATACATTTTATATAAATAAATATTAATAAAATATCTTTCCAAATATATTTTTAGAAAATATTTCCGTGAAATTATAATACAGCGAAATTCCTCGTCCGAATCGTTTCGTTTCTTCCGTTTCATTTACATTTCTTACTCAGAGCAGAATTCAAATTAGGAAGAGAACAGCGCTTATTACAATATAAAGATTTTAATTCACATTTTTGTCGAACGAAAAGTCATATAATCTAGCAAGATTTATATTTAATAATTTTTTTTTTCAAACATATTCCGTTTTATAATCTTCAGATTGCGAGCGCTCACATCAATCTCACACTCCACCCTTGGGACTTAGACACGGGGAATATATTCCGTTACATCGACATTTTCATCGGCAGGTGTCAGGATATGATCGAGATTTGTCAAGCGATGATTGATTTTGCAAGGTCCAAATAATATACACCGTAGAGACAATAAGCCAAAATATACACTATATACTATATATCTATTTTTTTCTATTTTTATTTCTCATTCAAACAATATTTTCTTTTTAAAAATGTAACTGTCATATGCATTCGGGATAATTCAAATTTTGTTTCTACTGTTTTCAACCAATGCGAGATAGTAATTTGCACAGTGATATTCGTGAATAACAACGCAATTTTTTAACCACATACAGGTCGGACGAGACGGCTCAGATTTTGAGTCCCAAATTCAGCGGTACAAGTGGTGAAGAGCACGAAAGAGTATGCCAAAAAATCGAAAGGCTCTTTTACGAAGCTTTGAGCGAAATCGAGATCAATTCGCACAAGATTTTCGCTGTTCGCGATTCTACGTGGCACGATAATATGATCATATTTCGTAGCGAAATGAGGAACTTAGAGATAATGATCGAAAACCTGATAGCCACCGTTTTCATGAACGTTAATAACGTTCAAGAGGGAATCGAAGATCTGCGGAGCTTCTATAATTATTTGAATCGAAAGAATTTAAAGTCGCTGTTTGACAGCAAAAATACTAGCGTAAGGAGAAATCAACGATAAATATAAGTTACTTTCAACAAGAAATCAATCGCATTCGTAATAATTTTTTTTTTTTTCAAGCAAAAATAATTACGTAAATAATTCTTATTATGAAAAAAGTCTGTGAAAATATCTACAAAAAAATTCTTGTCATTTAAAAAATGTCTAAAGCAAAACTCTCTTATAACATTATAAATTTCCAATAATCTCTTACATGAGAGGAGTTTTATAAAAAGGAAAATCTAATATTTTCTACAAGAGAGAACATACACATGTCAAGCTTGTGTTATTGCTTTCTGCGCAAATGTCACATTCTTTCAAATATTTAAACCGCTGAAGTAATAAGTTACAAATTTCAAAATTAATAACTTTCAACATTTCTGCTCAGGTGTGGCAGATCTTTGCCGACGATATCCAACGAACAAAGCAGGAAGTTCTGAACGAGAGAGAAGAATATCCTTCGATTACTCCGTACTATGCCGGCAGAGCGTTGAATCTTCGTCTGAAAGGTGACCGTCTGCAATCGACGCGAAGAATGCTGGAGGAGGCCGAGTGGATGCCCTATTGCAACATGAGCGAGGAGATCTATCATCAAGGAGACATCGTGATCAGATCCATCGAGGATTCCATGAAGGATCTGCATGCGAAATGGCTGTACGACGTCGGCGAAAATCCGCGAGCGCGGCTCGACCGTTGCCTGATGCGACGTAGCGACAGCAAATCCGGGTTGCTCGAGTGTAATATCGACCCTAATATCCTGAATCTCTGCCGCGAGTGTTCCTATTGGATCAGCCTGCGATTCAACATACCTGTGAACATCCAACTGATACACGACAAGTGGAGCACGTTACACTTTATATACGAGAGCGTCCTCGCCGTCACGTTGGCGTACAACAGGATTATCGAAGGTTCGCTGTTGTCAATAATTACTCGCCAAATGATTACACATAGCTTGTTGAGGCTGATTATTAGGGGATTTTCTTTTTTAGTCAGACTTGACATAGTTATAGCAAAACTTTAATGTAATTTATTCGCTTATTTCAACGCAAAAATTCAATGTTATAAATATAATAGATTAAAAATGTTCTTTAATTGTATTTTTGAATGGTTTCTTAACAAAATCCGAGATACTTAATTACTTTTAATATAATAAATTCTAATCATTTTTTTCTTAAATTTAATATTATTAGAAGATAGAATTATTTTATCTATTACCATTTTTTTCGAATTGTTCCATGTGTTATAACATTGCATAAAGTACATCTCTAAAATATATATACATATATTTATACATATATATACATAAATGAATTTATAATAACTAAATTAATTTTTTTCTAACTATATTAAATACGAATTTCGCTTAAAATGCTTATGCAAATGCTTATGCAAATATCATAATGGTGCGACTTAGGGGAAGCACATGTCCATAATGCTCGTGATAAAAGCGATATTCTCTATATTTATAGTCACATGCATTAATTTGTTTCCCACGGTAACGAAATATTCTTGCAACGTAGCTAAACTTGTATTTTTCAGCATTGTCGCTGACGGAACGTGCGTTGTTTCGCGAATTAATTCGGCAGCTCAACCGGAAGATCAATCCTGGCTTAACCAAGCTGACGTGGAACACGGATTACGTGGACTCGTATATTGAGGATTGTTTCAACGAAACGGCCAATGTATGCTTAGAGCCTCTTACCTTGTCCATGTGCGAAATCCATGTAAATTCATGCAATATGTACGGGACGCCTCGCGGTAAAATTTAATTTTGAACTGCCCGAGAGAAGTCCTCTCGCTATCTACCTGCGTTTGAACAATTAATTACAAACTCCATGTAACGCAGAAACGGAATAATTACGATGCGATGAATACGCGTGTATGTGTGTATAAGTAACAGGACATTGAGCTCAGTAACATTAAGTTAAAGTCTCTTTATTATCCTCTTTTCTTTTGAAGAAATCATATTCACTTTTTTCATTATTTTTTTTAACTTTTTTAAACAACGTATGCTAAAATCATATAATTAAAGGGCAAACGCAATTATTTGTTAGTTTAATACAATATCCCAATATGAACGAAATGGCAAGTAAAAGCAGAATTATTTGTCGCTCTAGCTTCAAGGGTTTATCGACACTTACAAGAACTCGAACTTCGAGGTCATAAAAATCTGCGAGAACATCTGCGACACTCCCATGATCAAGATAAGGGTTAATTACACGTACACATTGTCTGTATTAAAAGAGGAGCTCTTGCACGTACGGTAGGATTTCCATTTCGCATTATGCTGCTGCAACTCTAGACGCGTGACTGAAACTTAACGCTTGGTAAACGAGCATCGATCGAACTTTCTCACTTTCCAGAGACGAGACGTTCCAAGTTATGACTCAAAGACTCGATATGGTATTTCTATACATCATGGAGATTTATGAGGGCTTCAAGAATGTGATAGAAGAGGTATAACTTTTTTGATGCAACTGCGAAACTCAACAAATATAAATATACCATTTTTTTATTATAGAGATAATATGTTATATTATTGCTGTGTTATATGATATATTATTAATATTAAAAAAAGTATCTTTTCAAAGAAAGGTAAGAAAGATGTCAAATCTAAATATCGTCTAAAGAAATTACACAAAGAAGTGTTGTTTTGTTGTCATCACCATCAATTTATAGGCGATTTAGGATTTTTTTAGTTCATGTAAAACATATTTTATACAATCTCTATTACGCTTAAAAGAAAATTTATTTTATGCAAAAATTCTTTAAGTCTTATAAAGTAAACTTTATTATATTAAATGTTGCTCAGAAAATCAAAGTAGATCTCGATTAATATAAAAAAATTGAATGATTATTTTATTATCCAAAGTCATATTTTTCTACATGTACTTTCTGCCTGGTACTAATATTCTGAACAAATTTTTTTCTAAGACGTGTTTAAAAATTCCTTTATATTTTCGGCAATTTATTTTATTTTTAACAGTTTCTATCAACTTTAACAAATGCCGAGGGGCGATTAGCCGGCAGTAAATTTCTGACAAGTTATGTAAAGTTGAATCTTTCTCGTGAAGATTTCAGAGCAGATGTAAAAATGACCAAATAGCTTTGACGAAAAAATATTTGTGAAGGAAACGGTGTACGTTGCATGCCTGTAGGCTATACAAAGCAATTCTCGTCTAACTAAAGTTGGAGAAGTAAAGAGCATACTTACGGCAGATTCGTGTTAAGATATGTCGTACCATAACGTGACTACCACAGTGAGCACGTGCCTTCTCGGTTAATTCAAAAAGTCTCCAAGCGTTGCAGTCTCGCCGTAAGCGAGCATAACATGTTTGGCATATTATCCTCTATCAGATCTATTATAATTTATAAATATAATTATTAAATTAATATGGCTTATCTGAAGTAAATAAACCTATAATATATTATAGGATGTATCGGATATTCCGAAAAAATTTAATAAGCATTTATGAGATAAATATTTTTAATTTTTTTAAAAAGTTTTAATTAAAATGTAAACTTTAACGAAACACTCTACCGTAAATTAAATTTTTCTTTTTAACTTTGGCACGCGGAGAGATTGATAAGCAGCTATCAAATTTTTTTAAAAAGCGTACAGCCACCCTAATTTATTTCATATCTTTTATAATTATATTTGTGTTTATAATTTTTTTATTCTCTTTTAAATTTTAACATACATGTAATCTTTTTACTGCTTTTTCTGCTCAGAGTCGTACGGAATGGAAAGATTATTTGATGAAAATCGATACAGTAATCGAGGAAGCCATTAGATTGTGTTTGAAGAATTCTTTAATCATCATGTTTGAAGCTCTTCATGGTACTGATACGACAGGACCCTCACCCCTTTTATTAGTGCAAGCGGATATTATCGATAACAAAGTATGTTCATAACTATCCATAACATGTTTAACATACCATGCAAGATATAGCCCACACATATAGAGTATTACGTACATTGTTGAACTAAAGGTCTCGCCTGTTTAAGTTGATAACGATAATTTGGCATTTTCCAATATCATAATAATGAAAATACTTTATCTAATTATTTTAAAGCTTTGCTGTAAAAAAAGAAAAGAATGCATATAGTTTAAGTAGTTTACTGCATGATTTATCTAGATAAACTTTATACCAAGCCTCTTGGAAATAGCTACAGTAATAGCAAATATTTCGAATATTTTGTTGGAGCCCTTGAAAGATGTTCCGCGACTAGTTAAGAAGTTTAAAATGCTTCGAGACAAGAGCTTTCCCTTTCCAAAGTTGTACAAGGAGGACAAAGAGCTGATTGAACTCCAACAGAAACTCAATAACGGTTGTATCATGAAGCTTTCTATATATCTTTTGTTGTGTCTGACTCTTTCTTTTATTCTTTCAATGATTTTTCCTACTTGATACTTTGTAATTAATGTATCAAACATTCTTCTATAACGGCATATCGATAATTTTTAAACATTTTATCTGCTAGAAACATTACATTCTTACTTTATAACTATTTATTCATTAAGAACAGAGCAAACAATCCAGGGCAAATTTGTCTTATGTTAAAAAATGTATTATTTATGCTTTCATTTTCTTTTAAAATTTATTATTTATATATGTCGATACAGTTTTATTGATTATAAACATTTACACAATTTAAAATTAAAATGTCATTAATTTAAAATCATCCTCTATATCAGAAACTTTATCAATTGATTTATTATTAATTTAATTACAATTTTCACTCCAATTTCATTTTCCTAAAATTTAATAAGAATATAGTTAATTTTAAATTAATAATTTAATTAATGTGTAATATCAAAATATTCTCTTACCTATATTAATTTATATGTATATATATATATATATATATATATATATATATATATATATTCTTATTAATATGTGCGATATAATTTAATATTAAATCTATCTTTATGCTATGTTAAAATAAATATATTAAATATTAATTTATCAATTTACAGAAGTAAGTTATTGTTTTGCTCAAGTGCAAAATTATCTCAAGACCTGGGAACCATTCAAAGATATATGGGAAATGAATAAAGATCTATATATTCAAAGGTAATGTAAAAAGAATTGTCTCATTTAAAATTATAATTAAATGATTCTTTTGCTCGCGAGACTTTTAAAATTTCATTTAAACTGCCTTATTTACATCTAATTCTATGTATTATTTGATATAAATAATTATTACAACTAAAAAAAAATTTATTTAATAATCTTTTCATGAGATCTCTCTCTCTCTTCAAAGATCAGAAAATAAAGAAAAAGCATAAATAATCTACATTTGATATATAATTTTTCATTTTAATACATAAAATATTTGCTTCATACATTTTAAGCATTTTTATTTAACTTTATAAAGTATTATACCATTTTCAAATTAGATATGAAAAGTTGAAACCAACAGTTGCATCTTTTGATGCGGATATAAGTAAATACATCGATGTGATGAATAGCGTCCAACTACAGGAAACAATGACGACTGTGCATTTCCTCGATATAAATTCTGATGGATTGAAAGCCACCATCATCGAGCACTGTTCAATTTGGCAACAGAAGCTTACCGCACTTTTGTTACGTATGACCAATGCAATGGTCGACCACATTTATCATTACATCGCTGAAAATTCCACAAAGTTAGTTGCCTACCTGATTGTTGGAATAAAATTTTTCAAAGTAAAAAGAAAATTTACCGCTTAGGATTACAGAGAAATTTGATACAGAGGAAGGATCACAGAAATGGGTTACAGAAAAATATTTTTTATTTTTAAAATGAATATTTATACATTTCTACTTGGAAAGTTTTAGAATAAGTTTAGGTTTAAAATAAAAAATTAATTGAAATGTATCAAATCATACATATAACTGATTTGTTCAAATGATTGGTTAAAAAATATGTCAACTATTTTTAACAATATTATATTTAAACATCCATTTGTATATAAAACCAATGATTGGTTAAAAAATATGTCAACTATTTTTAACAATATTATATTTAAACATCCATTTGTATATAAGTTTAAAGAAAGGGAATATTTTTATTTTAATTTGAGAGAATTAAGTGTGTCTGCAGTTCACCATTTTTATGCTTATTATTCAAAAAAAATTCCTTTTCACACAGAGCCCCCAGTCTGATCATCTATTCCTCTATAGCATAATTGAATTTTTCAGTTATATTCGATTTCGAGTGTTCTCGATCGATACTATTAATGTAAATTTCCTTAAGCCGAGCAGAACACTGGAGAGGCGTTGCTCGCAAGGCGTTGCTCCCATAAATCCTGTCGCAATGCCTTTTTGAATTTCGAACTGAATCGTACGTGAATTCATTCGTTTGCAGAATAATGAAGGAACCGACGGATCTCATCAGCATGCAATCCGCGCTGCAATTGTTCGAGAGGCTCACTGCCGAGATCCCGAAAGAGGAAGAAGAGTTCCCTAAGATTCAGGAGCAGTTTCAAACTTTGGGTAAACCTTTAAATGTTTTCTCCGTGTTAAATAAGAAGGTCGACACACTATAAAATCGATGGAGCTTAAGATCGCGATTTACTATCGCTCAAGAATATGCAAGACGATCTATAATTTTTGCAAACGTATTTGCTTTGTTTGAAATAATCTCAGACCTTGTTTATCACATATGGAAACTCTGAACAAAAATCTATTATTTTAAACTACGTATAAACTTATGCATATTCACATAATTATGTATACTGGATCGCAGAAAAAGATGCTTAATAATTTTCAGAAAAATATGAGGTGCCGCTAACTTATGAGTTTAAAAGAAAATTAAAAGACATCAACCGTTCGTGGACGGCTTACTTGGAGTTACTTGCCACGTGCGAAGTTACCCTGCTCGAGAAAAAGGTACTGCATTCCCTCGATATAAAAGAGAACTTCTAGGAACTTTGTAATAAAAAATGGAGTTCCTTCGCGCGACGTCGGCGTCGACGCTAACTAAGAGGAAAATATGATGTCAATTAATTATTTTCTCAATTTTGACGTTACTTCATCGCATCTAAGGAATTTTTATATAATCTGAAAAATTAGTTTTACAACTTTTTAAAAACTCTCTAATATATTTGCAAGATTTAAATTATTTAGTAAAGAAGTAAGAAAATATTTCTTGTTATTTCTTGCACATTTTTATTTTTAAAAAAGAATAACAAGTAATTTTATATACATATATTTATTTATTTATTTATTCATTTATTTATTATATATTTATATCTCTCTCAAACTTAAAGAAAAAATGGTAGAATTTTACATGTTTGTAAATAGTTATATATATCCATAATAACTTGGATTATCTTTTGAATATTTTGTTTAAATATAATCGCAGGAAGAATTTAAACAAATATTGCTGACTGATGCGACAATGTTCGAGGAAGATGTATCTTCCGTAGTGCGTAGATTTAACGATACCGGGCCCTTCACCTCCGACTGGAATTCAAAGAGTAAATTAATGCATTCTCATTAGATATATATTATAAATATAAATATCTTCATAGCATGACACTGAATTGCATAAATCAACGATAAGTAATTACTGTATCTTACAATCTATAATAGATTCGTGGATAACAATGAATAAGAAAATATTCACATTCAATTATAACATTTATAATTTTTAATATACGGTAAATATGAAGTTATAATTTATACGTTAAACGAGAGAGTAGAAAAGAAAATAAATATAAGAAACGTATAGAAGATTTTGCAAGAGATATTTTTAACATAATTATTTTAAAGTTTATATGTTAAATATTAAGAAAAAATTTTGCTTTAAATAATATTGTTTCATTTGTGACATTTTTTTATTTTGCATTAAATAATAACATTGTTTATTTGTGATATTTTTTATTTTGAAAATTTAAAGAGATTAAAATTTAAAAAATCGTAATCGTAACACTTTTTGCTTTTACTACTGCAGATTAGTGTTATTTATTCATAACACATCCAAGTACAATGTTTTAAATGCGTTTGTCAATATTCGGTCAATATCGGTTTATTTTTGCATGAATTTTGCCTACAAAATATGCAGTAAGTAATGATTACCAATAATCCTGTGTATATCTGGAATACATACATAAATGTTAGATGGCTAATCACAGAAAAATAAATTGATTTTAATCAGACATTCTAGTTAGAATAAATTTTGCATTAAATGACATTTTTTTATTTTGCATTAAATAATAACATTGTTCATTTATGATATTTTTTATTTTGAAAATTTAAAGAGGTTAGAATTTAAAAAATCGTAATCCTAACGTTTTCTGCTTTTACTACTGCAGATTAGTCTGTTATTTATTTATAATACATACAAGTATAATGTTTTAAGTGCGTCAATATCGGTTTATTTTAGCATGAATTTTGTCTACAAAATATGCAGTAAATAACGATTACCAGTAATCCTGTATATCTGGGATACATACACAAATGTTAAATGGCTAATCACGGAAAAATAAATTGATTTTAATCAGACATTATCTAGTTAGAATAATTCACTTAGTATTAATATTTATTACTACTATATTGCATTTACTTTATCATTATTATTATCATTATTGTTACAGACGCTTTAAATTGGCTGGCCATCTTCCGGAAAGATATTTATTCCTTGAGAGACAGAGAAAAACTATTAAAATCACGAATGATGATTTTTGGCATAAATTATCCAGATTCTCGGGAACTCGCTCAACTCGATAAAGTAAATAACATATTTGCTCAAATGTCACCTTCACTCTTCATGCTAGTCTACGTATTTATACGACTTTCCGACACTTTTCTACTCGCGAAGGATATAGCCGTGATCGAATTGGTGTGGCAATTGACGGACGAATGGAACGATGCCTGGGAACGCTACAAAACCGGAAATTTCTGGACGATAGAATTGGAAGAGATGGACGCAACCGCTAATCTCCTCCTCCGGAAACTCACAAAACTCAGCAAAGAGCTCAAAGAAAAGAACTGGGAGATTGTCGAGAATACCAGGTGCGACCCAGTCATAATCGAATTTCGAACGCGCAGTAAATATGTGCCGCTTTCGTAAATTTTTCACAAAGCAAAGTAGCGCTAGCGATTGCCATCCTTTAGCAGGATGTCAATTTATCCCAAAAAACTAGAAATCGGTCCGCTACGTTATAAATTGCGCTCGTGCGGTGGATGGCCATTTTTCAAAATGATAGCAAGATGAGAGGGATCATGCACGGGGATGTAATCGACGATAATTGTCGATGATTGAAATGTCCGCTGTTTGTAACATCGAATATTATACCGAATGATTTAATCCCTTCGTTAACAGCTTTTTGCGGTGTATGACGAGAGTAAAAAATAGTTTGTCGAATTTTGAAAAGTTCTACATATATAAGGATAAATAACGCTAATAAAAAAAATTTGTTTGAACGAGTGCACTTGGACCAGCGCAATGCTTTGGAGGAAATAATGCGAAGGATAGTCCACAACTTAATCCAGCATATTACACAGCGACGCTTATTAACTTCTGCGTCGCTAAAACGCGTAACTTACGTAAACTTACCGACCACACTTATGACCACACTCCTTTCGACGATACTTTTTGAAACTAACAAAGTGCACGCTCCGTAAATGGCTATGTAACTTCTCAGCAGCTACAATTCAACCTAGTTTACTAAACAAGGAAAAATGAAAATAAACTATACGCAGAACGCTGTTTGCGTACAAAAGAAAAAGTATTCTTCATTATGCAATGGAAAGAATCGCAGGAAAGTTTTCGTATGAGTTTTGAATAACAGAAAAATTATATTTTTATATTACGTTTTCTAAATGCACTTTTTTAAATCAAAATATATCTTTGTTTGATTTTTATTTATCCTTGCGCAAAGTGATCAATTAGCATTTATTCAATAATTTACATCAGAGCCAGATTAATGTGAAAGTGATTGCTTTGCAATTGAGAGAATATTATAAGTTTACGAATATATCTTCAAATTTTAATAAATTTTATATTATTTAAAATACAAGAAAGAATATATGTAATTCTATATACAATTTATTCTACACGTAATTTATTGTAAAAATTGTATATTCCAGATTAAATGTCGATAAATTTCGACGTACATTACCGCTGATAACGGTATTGAAGAATCCAGCGATGAGATCGAGACATTGGAAGCAGGTCAAAGATACGATCGATCGAGAATTCGACGAAACGTCGGAGGACTTTACTTTGAACGCGATTATTAAAATGCAGATGCATAATTTCGCGGAGCAAATTAGCGAAATCTCGAACACAGCCACGATGGAACTCGCTATTGAAGTTGTAAGTCGTCGAGAATACAAATACGAACCATACAATATATTAATTACACAAGACGTTTCTTTACGAGAAATAACACATGCGCATTGATTAGGGACTTCAAAATATTAAAAATACTTGGGAAACGATGCCAATTACAATGGTTGCATATAAAGATAGAGGAATCTACAGATTAAAAGCGACAGACGACATAATGCAAGCTCTGGAAGATCATCAGGTGCAGCTCTCATCTATGAAGGCAACAAAGTACATTGCACTCGTTAAATTAATTATTTATATTTTTTTATATTTTTTATATTTATTTATATTTTTTTGCTAAACTTAAGCGAACTACATATTGAATTTTCCTAGATTCGTCGAACCATTTGCCCAGGAAGTCGACCACTGGGAACGGACATTGTCGACTATCGAAGAAGTTTTGGAAATGCTGCTGTTGGTACAAAGAGAATATGCGTACTTGGACAATATATTCACTTCCGAAGACATGAAGAAACAACTCCCAAAGGAGACCGATGATTTTGACAAAGTGACGAGCGAGTTAGCTGAACATACATCGAGGATGGCTTCCTACGGTTTGGTACTGCCAGCTACTCATGTTCCACGTATGTATTATCAGAAGGACTATTACAAAGGAGATGTTATCCATAGTATCAGTATAATACAAAATACGGGATCATTGTAACAAGAGATCCTTCTAATTAAATGTTAAAAAAAAAGTCACGTAGATTCCATTTTCCTACAAACATATAGAAATCCAAATAAAAATTTGTCTGTAATCTAATCCTCCGAGAAAAATAATTTTTTAATTTAATTTTACATTTGTAGTTATACTCAGCAAACATCAAATGATTGATACTGAAATTTCGATATTTTGCGAGAGAATGTTACTCGATATGTACTGTAATATATTGAATTCGCCATATCTTTTTTCAGTATATATGAAAGCTTGAATTATTGCAAGGATTTTATAAAAATTTCTAATAGCTTTTTTTACATATAATATAAAATCAATTATACAAATTATCATATTAGGATTAAAAACAATTTATATTCTATATAAAAAAGAAACAAGGCAAAGAGTATTTCTAAATACTAAATAAAAATAATTCATAAAATCTTACAACTTTTTTAAATTAAAGAATAAAAGATTTTGTACGTAGTAATGTGAATTCATCAGTTAAATATCAGATTTAACATGCAACATTTTCAGAATGAAACATAATCAATAAGCATATTTGCAAAATGCAATTAACTAATGAAAAAAGTATTACTGAACCGGAGGTATATTCCGCATTTATCGTGCGCGATCATTCTGAGCGTTAAACTAGGATTAAAATTATTTAAGCTACGACCGAGCCAGGGTATTAATGTAAATGGATACGTACAAACCGCCTGTGTCGGCTTCCGGCACTAAAAAAAAAAAAAAAAGAGAAAAACGAAAAAAAAAGAAGATAAAAAATCGAGCGACGAGCCGACGCGTACGCGTACTGTAAAATAATGTAAATCTATTCTATTGAAAGCATTTGCATTTTTCCCCCCTTCCTTGCTCCCCATCCCGACGATCCTGTTAGCTGGCTTGCTGGAAATCCTGAACAAACTCAATGACAAGTTGGAGGCGTTGCAGTTGGCGCTCGAGCAGTACCTAGAGACCAAGAGACGAGTATTTCCGAGGCTCTACTTCGTCTCGAATGATGATATACTGGAAATCCTGGCGCATTCTAAAAGACCGGACCTCATACAGCCTCATATCAGAAAGCTCTTCGCGAACATCAAGTCCTTGAAGCTCAGCAAGGTAATTCTCCGTCTTTCTATTCTCTTATACTTGCTTCCTCCACATTGTCTCGAGACTCTTAATATCGCATCTTTCTGTCTTAAGACGCTGACTGGAAAACATGTGGCTGACGGCATGTACTCGAACGAGGAAGAGTACGTCGAGTTTATCGAACCGGTCCTCTTGGAGGGTCAAATCGAGTATTGGCTGCGCAATGTCGGTGAGTTTATTTATTTCTTTTCTTCAAGTACTTCACGAGAGACGAAGATCGATTATTAGACACTTGCAAGTAACAAAATGCGAAAATTTAAAACAGTAAACTCGCAATCATCGCGGTGGTAATCCTAAAATCCGTCGTTCTTTCATGATAAACGCATAGTAGTTACCATCCCATGAGTTTTAGGTATATATCCCTATAAATCCTGTTTCCTGTTATCTCCCCGAAATCTACACGCACGCTGAGGAAATATATACGCGAGAATTTATAAGATCATAAATTGCTTTTTGCAAAATCGAAAGAGGCGGTTTCACCTCCATCTGAAATATGGAAGCGACAACCTTCTTTTGCATGCGCGTCGCGGGAAAACTAGGAGAAAGATCAGCAACGTGTGAACATGGACTCATCAAATATTTACAGTATCCTGCGGTGTGCGCGGTAGCGGGGAAAGCGGAAAGTAGCGTTTACAACAGTTCGGGTGTTACGTAAATAAAAGCCGGGGCTGGAAAATTGGCCATAATTTATGCTCAATCCCGACGTTGGTCCACGACCGCCGTAAATTACCCGATGTGCCCGCGTACGCATCAACGTACAACTTCGATTTCTGTTTGCGAGAGATAAAAATGCGCGAGCGAAATGGCGCGCGCGGGGGAGAGAGAGGAGGGGGAGTGGGTGGGAGGGACGGGGATGGAGAGGGGGATGGAAACGCGCGCGACCGGGAAGTGAGCGTGAATAAAACGCGGGGGTGGCAATTGCAGAGGCCGCGATGAGAGTGACCCTGCGCGAAGTGTTGAGGCAGTGTCGGACAGCGTTGCGAAAAATGCTCGCGAAACGCGACAGGTGGGTGAAAGAATGGCCGGGCCAGCCGGGCATTACGTCCACTCAGATTCAATGGACGAGCGACTGCACGCGCACCCTGCTACGCTGCAAGTGAGTACTTTTGGCCTTGCCTGTGAGAAATTTAGCTGCGTTAGTTATGAAACGCGAGGGAAACGAGCCGCTCGGGGTGCGACGCGGAAAGGGGGATGGAGGGAAAAACGGGATGAACGTGAGACCGGTTCTGACGGACGCCGAAAGACGGTCGGAGGAAACGAGACGATGACGAGAAAAGATCTTTTCGCGCGTACACACACATGGTAGACGCGCGTAGTGGGAGATGGTAGAATGGCCGTGGAAGAGGATAGGAGACACGGTAGGTCTAATAAGAGAAATTTTGCATATTCTACGTCTGGTCCTGCGATCCGGCGACGGCACCCTTCTACCATCTTCCTCATTTGCATATACTAGCCGTACCGCGAATAATTTAACCCGCACCTACAGCCGAGCATATCCCTACCTACCGAATAAAATCCCTCCCGTCCCGGGACTCTCCTATAACGTTCGTGTTACAGGCGAGACTCGACGTACCTTTCCGTTGCACCCCGGCACCTCGGAAAAAGAGATGCCAAAGACAACGCGGTTGGGAAAATTGAGATGAGATGCACGGCGAAAAATAATATCGCTAAAAGTGCATCGCACATGTTGCATTGTCTTCTTACATTTTAGTTGTCGCGTGGATCTTAAGGTCTGAGAATTCTTACGTTAATAATTTTTCAAAAAGAGACGACATCTTCGTATATGTACTTGCATTAATAATATTTTTAAAAATTATTATTGTCATATCGAATTAACGAGATTGCTTTTCTCGAAGCTTTCTGGAGACTCTTAAAGACAAACAAATTAATTATCAGGTAGCGTAACTGTGAAATGATATGTTAGCTATGTATTTCACAATCCAATTAAGCTTTGTTTGATTTGCTCTCGTACTCAAGAATGGCGGACTCGAAGAAGCCATTGCGAAGACTGAAGAAGAAACAGAATCAGACGTTAGACAAATACTCGGAAACTATACGAAGTGATCTGAGTAAGCTGGATCGATTAAAATTCAAGGCAGTTATCGTTATCGAGATACACGCGAGAGATGTCATTGAAAAAATGTATAAAATGAGTAAGTTGATTCGCGTATTCTTCTGCAATCATTCTTTCATCCTAGATACAACGCTCGTTCCCGTTACGTGTAGTTGTTTTACAAAAATATACTCAATATATACTCGGACGTACAGTCAACAAATTACAGATCATTTTATAGGACCGCGTCCGACGCAACCGCATCACGTTCTAGCGTTATATTGTTGGCGATACGATACGCTACAGTAGGAAAACGCTGTTGCATCCGCTAGTAAATTTGTATATCTCGAAGAAAAAGTGCTTGTAAAAATATACAAGATAGCGAGAGTCTATTTTTTGAAAAATATAAAATTCGCCAATGTTTACTATGGGAAAATTCTTTTTTTGATCGTAATAAAATTCTTTACTTTTCCATATCAATATTTCCTTGGCAATATGTAATTTCCGTTAATATATAAAACCAATCGCTCTTTAAAGAAAAAACTTACCATTTTCTAAATAAATAAAATTCAAAGAAAATGATTATAAAAGATTATTTGCTCTATTCATATATGTATAATACGAGCTAATGTTTTGAAAAATATAAAATTCGCAAATGTTTGCTATGAGAAAATTCTTTCTTTGTTAATATATAATATTTTAATATTATATTATAATATTTGTAATGTAATATAACATTTGTTAATATAATATTTTTATAATAAACTTCTTTACTTTTCCATATCAATATTTCCTTTGCAATATGTAATTTCCATTAATATATAAAACCAATCGCGATTTAAAGAAAAAACTTAGATTAAAATTACTTTCATTACCAAGAATTATTAGGAATTTATACTTTTTGTGCGTGTGCTATCTTATAAATAAATAAAATTCAAATAAAAAGATTATAAAAGATTATTTGCTCTCTTTACATATATATAATACGAGCTAATGTTATAAAGTAATACTTCAAACTGCACGTAACATTTCTTATATTACTTCACTCGTATACTTCCTTTGCTACTTTAATCCAGAGAGAAAATAAACGAGATAAAAAGGGGGCAAACTTACTTTTCAAATTTTTCAGATTGCAGAGATGTGTCTGCTTTCGAGTGGCTGTCGCAGTTAAGATTTTATTGGGATGCAGACATGGACGATTGTATTGTCCGGCAAACAAACACTCACTTCGTATATGGTTACGAGTATCTAGGTAACACCGGAAGACTTGTAATAACTCCTCTGACAGACCGGTACGTTTCCTTAAACATTTAGCATAAGCAAATAAATGTTAGATAACTATTTCACGCAATTATTATTTCTTAACCGTTTTTTTTTTTTTTCTTAACAAGCAAATTTTCTTCAGAAAGGATAGTATTAATTTATTTTTCAAGAAAACTTGATATCTACTGGCTCGATTTAATATTTTTAATATCATGTCCTTTGATATAAAACTGAGAATTTATTTTTATTACTGTACATTTTTTATATATATTTAATGAAAGATTAAAAAAAGCAAAACGTCACACAAATTCTACTAAAAGCTAGATGTCACAAACATATGACAGGATAATACTTTTTGCCAAACGACAACGAGATGCTTTATACCGCAAATACTTGGTGAAATGTACATCGTTTAAATGAATCTGTACTGTAGTGAATACGAATGGTGGCATATGTATACGCACTTGATTGCGGCACCATTTGCAAAATTACTTTTGTGACATTACGTCGCTACATATTTAGTCGGTCAGCGTACTCTGTTCCGTTTAGCAATGTTAAAGCAGAAGTTTCTCAGCGGTTATCGCGCGTGCTATAGTCACGTAGTTGGCACCAGGTCGTGTGGCCAGCCAGTAATTTCGTCTGTCACGCGCGCGGATAACACACGACGGGACGCGGGTAATGCTTAGTGTTCGACACATTGGCGATGTAATACAACCTGATTTAGGTCAGCGAGGGTAACTTGACGATCGAGCAGCGATTGCTTGACGCGTCGCGTTGCACGTGTCCGATTAGGTAAAGTTTTAAGCGCGCCGTTGTATTTAATGAGGGAACTTTCTCTCCGCGATACTGATCGCATCAAATAGCTCACGTTACATGATTAAGGCGAGGTCGCGAACTCGTGATATTCATCGCATATCATACAACTTCCTGCAACTAGTTATATCTTAGCGCGGGAACAATGTCACGTGTATCGTTGCGAGAACAGTTGACGATGATCGCTTAGTTGAAACAAGTTCTGAGGTTTCCTTATAACCGAAAGAGTCCTCGTATACTTAAATTTCAGGCGGCTAAATTAAAATTTTCGAGAAAGGATGAATCAAATGCAGAATGAATACGAAGTCATTATAAAGCACATATAATAAAATAATGGAGTGAGAAAAACAACTCAGGATCGGAAAAGTATATTTAACAAAAAAATGAAAAAAATTGAATTTTCATATAAAAAAATCTCGACGATCGAGATTACATCGCGATGTAATTAAACTTGTAGGATGTGCGTTTGTAAAGTTTTCTCGCATTCGAAATGAATGTTCACTGCAAAATGTCTGTCTCGTGCGTACCAGAATCGCGTTGTAAACCGCGAGAGGGATGTAATATCGCGAACATGCTCGCCCGGTCGTATAAATTCGATATGCAGCTATGATGTAATACGAGGATGACAATGTGACATAATTTCAAGAAACGAGTAGCGAATGTCAACGCGCGTCGCGACATCAAAAGCTAAGCGCCGAGAACGAGCGCGATATCCTACTTAACAATATTATCGATTTAATCGGGATAAAAGGTTACCCCATCCCCCTCCCGACGTTCTAATTTATAGACGGCGATTGCCATCTCAATACATTTGTCCGCTCTCGCGGTCCTGAAAATTTGTCTTGCGGAAAGAAGACACAACGCACCCCTCAATCTTCCGTATCCACCGCGCGAAAGTGGATGAATCATCCCCTTCAGCCACGAATAGACGCATTAAATCGCAAACTGCGTCGGAGCATATACACACTCTGATATATTCCTCGTATCGAATGCCATATTGCAGCTGCGTTCTTGAAATACAGGCCTGATGGACGAGATATTTCATCAATAGCCCGTCAATTGCATGAAGGTCTTTTTCGTCGAAAACGAAATATATTTATGTTTTATTCAAATAAAATACGATATTATTTAAGCTCTTTTTGAGATACACATGTAATTTACATATACGTCTCTTATTTAAAATAATAATGATAATTATATGATTTTATATTTATGATTATACGAGTATATTTAAAGTGCACTCTTCTGTTAATTTTCCATTTTCGCGGATGTCACGAATGTTATCGTATATTAAACAATGAAATAACTCTTCAACCGTTTATCTTGTCCAGATGTTACATCACATTGACAACGGCTCTTCATTTATATCGCGGTGGAAGTCCAAAGGGACCTGCGGGTACTGGAAAAACTGAAACAGTAAAAGATCTTGGAAAAGCACTCGGTTTCAATGTAATCGTACAAAACTGTTCAGAAGGACTGGATTATAAAAGTATGGGTAGATTATTTTGCGGACTGTCGCAAACCGGCGCCTGGGGATGCTTTGACGAATTCAACCGGTAAATATCCATGAAGCTTACATACTATTGACATGAAAAAAAGGAAAACCTTTTGAAAACTCAAATCAAACCTCGCATAAAATGCATGATTATTGTTTGAAAATTAAACAACATGCATACAAGAGAAACAACATAAAATACACATAATGTATACATACATTTATATTAGTATTTCTGTAATTTTTATTTTTTACAATGAAGTTAATTAATTTTCCACAAATAAAAGAATCTTTATTTCGACATTCATTTCGAGATTTTTAATTAGACAAAATTTTTAATTAGTTATCAAAACTATATTAAGATTAATAAGATGTCAAGATTATTGTGATCTTATTAAGATTATTGATTTAAAAAAAACTAAAATATGCATATTTGTAAGTTAGATGAGAAAATATCACAATTACATGAATTTAAAAAATTTATTTAATAAATAAAATTTAATTTAAATAAAATTTTATTGGATAAAAATAAAATAAAATTTTATATAATCGAGTCAAGACAGTACAAGATGGGATTTTGGCTAAAAAGAGATTCATTTAAGACCAAGACAAAATTTAAATTTTGAAAAATTTTTAATACAATATTTTTACAAAGATTGTCTTATTTCGAGTCTTATGCAATTCTACACGTAATACATAAAAGATTGCAGACACAGAAAACTTTAAAGAAATGAATTCTTTCGTAATCGTAGAATTAACGTCGAAGTGTTATCAGTAGTAGCGCAACAGATACTATCGATACTGACCGCCCTCGCCCAAAGACTTACGAGATTCATTTTCGACGGCGCCGCTATAAATCTGGTGCACACCTGCGGCATCTTCATCACAATGAATCCCGGTTACGCTGGACGTACCGAACTTCCAGACAATTTAAAGTCTATGTTCCGGCCAATCTCGATGATGGTGCCGGACAGTAGTATGATTGTCGAAATTAAACTGTTTGGCGAAGGGTTTAAAAACACACGTGTGTTAGCCAAAAAGGTCATTTCAAGTTACAATTAATTTGCAATTTCTTAATCTCTCAATATAATTAATATAAGTAATTTTACAAATGACAAAGTATATGATGCATTATTAAAATTTTAAAATAATTTATAAATTTATCGTTTTGTTTATTGTACCTTTCAATAAAATATCTATTTTTGAAATATTTATTTGATTTATTAGCCAAGAAATTTTAATATTAAAATTTGACGAAAATTTTGAACAATGCTTTTCTTCTTTAATAGGTCTTTACTTTATATTCTCTCGCCCAGCAGCAACTTAGTAAACAGCATCATTACGATTTCGGTTTGCGAGGTATAGTAACACTGACCCGATACGCTGGCAAAAAGAGAAGGCTGTATCTCAATTTATCCGACGAGGAGGTGATTCCTTATCTTCTTTATTATTCTAAAATTATCTTATCTTCTCTATTATTCACACAAAATACTGAATAAATCTCATTATTGATATTTAAACATGGCATCATTTTTAAATTACTCGTAATACTTGATATTCAAAGTGATGCAAAATCTCGCAATAATCATTTATATTATGACACTGTGAACTATCAACCAAGTCTCTTGAATTTTACCTAGATAATTATCCTTGCCATGAAAGATATGAACGTCGCCAAACTTACCTCGGACGATCTACCGCTATTCCTCGACATTACCACCGATCTTTTCCCCAACGTAGACGTACCCACCGTGGATTACGAGGAAATTATCAGTTATATAACCAACGAGGCAATCAAGTTGAAGCTGCAGGTAATCTACTTAGGGAGGATATAACGTATAATTTCAACGATTCTACTTGCTGGAAGGCGCCTTTCTCGTTTTTTACGACCGTGCCACGGGTCCTAAGGGCATTTATCGGGAAATTATTCGTGCTGATCTAGCGTTTATAAATATTAAATTGTGTATATATTAAATTGCGCCTATATCCATCGCTCAGATTATCATTTTCTTTAGAATTTAATCTGCGATGATAATAGTTATGGATATTGTTCGGATGTGTCAGTAGATCGCCTTGTCAGCTATATCTCGAGATTAATTAATCGTCCTAAATTATTCGCGATTATTACAGCCGATTCCCATGATAGTGACGAAAGTCATCGAGCTGTACGAGACGAAGGGCTCGCGTCACTCGACGATGATTGTTGGCGTGTCAAACACCGCAAAAACCACAACGTGGAAGATTTTACAGAATACGATGACGACAATGAAGAGCGATGGAAAGCCAGGCTTTAACGCCGTTCACGTATATCCCATTAATCCTAAGGCACTAAGTCTCGGTGAACTCTACGGCGAGTACAATCTTTCTACCGGAGAATGGCTCGACGGGGTGATATCGTCCATCATGCGGAAAACTTGTTCCGGTAAAGCGCTTGATTGATTACAATGTAATATGTGTAGTGTAATAAGTGTGTCACGTTATATATATATGGATATATGACGTTAGAGATGAACATAATGAATTCTGTAATGTTCTGTGACAAAATATTTCAGTTGCATGATATATATATTATTAATTACAAATATAATATAAAATATACACAGAAGCATATTGAAAGATGTTTCGTATGTATATTGACATTTCTCAATTGAACAATATAAAAATTATTTATGGCGTAGGATTCATATTATTGATAAATCATAAATAATAAATAAAATCGAGGAGAAAAGCAATATAAGCAAAATTATTGGGACAGAAATTTCTTCTTCGTCAGCATGATTTATGTCCGGAAAATATGCTATTGTAAAAATTCAATGTACTCTTGACAGAGGAAACCGCCGATGAAAAGTGGATTCTTTTTGACGGACCCGTGGACGCTGATTGGATTGAAAACATGAACAGCGTCATGGACGACAACAAGGTATACTTTGTCCATTCTTCGTTTGATGTTTCTCGATTCTTCTTAAACTGACATTACATAAGATGAAATTATTCTTATTTCTAAAATTAAAAATTTCGCATTTTAAGGTACTAACGCTGATAAATAATGATCGCATTGCTATGCCCGATCAAGTATCGTTACTCTTCGAGGTGCAAGACTTGGCTGTCGCCTCTCCCGGGACGGTCTCCAGAATAGGTATGGTTTATAACGATTACAAGAATCTTGGTTGGCGTCCGTACGTCGATTCGTGGTTGCAAAAGTATAGCGCGCAACCGGAATTTGCTGAGGAGGTGAGACGAATCGACTAATTTCCCGCGATCCGGCGGAACGTACATTTCATTGCTTCTCAATCAGATGAATCAGCTGTTCGAGAGCCACGTTAACGCCGCGCTGGAATTTAAGCAGAAGAATTGCGAGGAACTCGTACCTGTTCCCGAATTAAACGCCATTCAGTCTCTCTGCAAACTGCTGGAGGTATTCGCGACACCGCAGAACGGCGTGGAATTAGGCGAAGATCGCGCTGCCTTCTCCATAATATGCAAAATGTGGTTCTTCTTCTGGTACGTAAAAGTATTTTTGTTCATATTGTTTCGTAAATGCATTGTAAATATGCATTTCGAATATTGCATAGAACAACCGGCGAGATAAGTTACGACGATCATGAATTCATAACTCGTATTCAAGCAACACGGAATACTAGCTGTCACCTCTGGGCGTCTTCAAGTAATATTAATACTGTAATCCTCTAGTGGTTCGCGCAAGTCATATTAAACTATAAGTTCCGAGTCAATGACATGGTAATGATAGTCAAGAGCGCACTAAATAACTATCTTTAATGTCACGTTGCAGCATGATATGGTCATTGTGTGCCTCGGTCGATGAGAAAGGTCGTCAGAAGATGGATAATTTCATAAGAGAAATCGAAAGCTCCTTTCCGTTGCGAGACACAGTTTACGAGTATTACGTGGATACACGTCTCCGTAATTTCATTTTATGGGAGGAAAAATTACCGCATTCTTGGAAATTTCAACCCGGGTAAGCGTAAATATTCATTGAAACTTGCCAATAAAATTCTGATGTTTTTTAAAAAATTAAAAATTATCAATTCTCCCTCAGGACATTTTTATCGATAAACGGCAATCTTCGATAATTGATTGTCATATAACATGATTGTTTAATCAAAATCAGAATATCCCGAATTCGGTTCAAATCTCATATCGAGTCGCATACATATTCAGGTCAAATCATTCAATTTGCATTACATCATATTCAATCACATCCATATATTTTCGAGAAAATCGATAATCGTTTCTTAAGAGAGCGTTGCGCGCACCGCTAGTATATTCTGAATCAATTTACAGCCTGCCATTCTACAAGATAATAGTACCCACCGTGGACACGATACGATACGATTACGTCGTGAGTTCTCTCCTATCGAATGGTTTTCCAGTGCTCGTAGTGGGTCCGGTGGGTACAGGAAAAACGTCTACCATTCACTCGGTACTTGAGCTGCTAGACGACACGAAGTACGCCGTTCTGCTTGTAAACATGTCGGCACAAACTACATCCAATAACATACAAGTAAGGCTCTAAACATGTATCAAATGGATAATAATTTTAAATATTGAATGAATGTTTTCTACCGAGACTCTACCTTGGCTTATAGGACGCAATAGAAAGCCGACTGGAAAAACGAACGAAAGGCGTTTATATTCCCATGGGCGGTAAGACTTTGATCACTTTCATGGACGACTTTAATATGCCCATGAAAGAGAAATACGGATCGCAACCACCGTTGGAATTAATTCGACAGTGGATTAATTATGGATTTTGGTAACATTACAAGATATACAAGAACAAAACACAAATAGCAAAAAAAAATAGCGCGTGTAATAGAAACATAAAAATATTGCTCTGAAACACGAAAATATTGTTCTGAAACATTTAACAAAACGTTGCAACAAATATAAAAAAAAAACATTATCGACAGGTATGATCGCCGAAAGCAAACGAGGAAACATATTCAAACAATGCAATTAATGGCAGCGATGGGACCACCTGGTGGGGGCCGCAACATTATTACGGATAGATTACTCACAAAATTTAATGTCATTAACATGACTTTTCCAACTGAAAAACAAATTACAAGAATCTACGGTACAATGTTGAATCAACATCTTTCCGAATTTCACTCTGAAGTGAAAGGAATATGTATGTATATTAAGTGAAATTGATTGTGTTTAATTGATGATTATATAAAGTGAGACTTCCTTATCCGTTTTAGCAAATGATATAACGCTTGCTTCGATCAAACTATACAATCACGTGATCCAAAAGATGCTTCCCACTCCAACGAAGATGCATTATTTATTTAACCTGAGGGATATATCAAAGGTAAAAAATTTGGAAGTTAAAAATTGATAAACTAGAATTCGACATGAAGGTAGAAATGACGCAGATACAAAAATTGCTATCGATCCTCCGACAGGTTTTCCAAGGGTTGCTGCGCAGCTATAAGGACTATCAGTATTCGAGACAGACTTTCCTGCGATTGTGGGTTCACGAGAGTTTCCGAGTTTTCTGCGATCGGCTTATTGACGAGAAGTAAGCGCTCAAGAGGCATTAACTTAATTTGGTCCGGGGTACGGGAGGAAAAAATGCTGAGCAATTTCTTTCAGGGACAGAGAGTGGTTCGTGACTCAGTTGAACGATCAGCTCGAGAAGCACTTTGAGTTGACCTTCCATAATGTCTGTCCGGAGAAAAGATGCCCCATTTTCGGTAAATAGGCGCAATATATTGGTGCAATACTTTGATTCTAGCTAACATAAATATATACATCCTCTCTTTTATTAAAGTTTTTATCAATAACAATATTATATATTTAATTAATACTATTAATTTATATTTTTATTATTAAATAGAATATTATCCTCCAGATATATATACATATATTTCTTTTATATTGAATTAACATCTGCAGGTAGTTTTATGAATGCCTGGGATATATACGAAGATCTTCCGGATATCGGCGCCGTAAGGCGTTACATGGAAGAACAGATGGACGAGTATAATGCCTCTCATGGCGTGGTACGCCTCGATCTCATCTTGTTCCGCGATGCGATTGAACATGTATGTCGCATCGTTCGTGTAATATCGCAGGTTAGTGATTCCCATCGCGTGCCGTATAACGGTAAACATTCTATCCGACGATACACACTGTAAAAATACAAGTCTATATTATTACGATTTTATATACGTGTTATCATAAAATATATTTGTATCATAAAGTCGATTTTTAATTCAAAAATAATAATTTAAATAACAAAATTTCTTTTTTCCCCTCAATATTTTGCTTGTTATTTGTATAAAATCTTGCAACAAATAAATGAAATAAATAAATGCAATAAATAAATAAATATATATATATATATATGCATCATAAGTCTAACGATTATCATTAATGTATTTTTATAGCCTCGCGGTAATATGCTTCTGGTTGGAATTGGTGGTAGTGGTAGGCAATCGCTTTCACGTATTGGCAGTTACATGTGCGATATGTCCACCTATCAAGTTGCCATTACGGCACAATATAGGTTACCAGAATTTCGTGAAGATCTCAAGACTCTGTACTCAATGGTCGGGGTGGAGAACAAACCGACTAGTTTCCTCTTCAACGATACCCAAGTGGTGGAGGAGCAGTTTCTGGAGATTGTCAACAATATGCTGAGTACTGGCGAAGTGGCTAATCTCTACAAGAGCGACGAAATGGAGAACGTAAGTCGGTTAATACGCTTTGCGTCACAATCATTTTCATGTCCATTTGGATATAATCCTCGACGTTACTTTATATGAGGCACGTTCTACGTAAAAAAGAAAATCAACGAAATTAAAAAACTAACAGAAATGACTATTATCAACAGCGCGCGCGCACTCATGAAATTTATATCATGCTTAATTATTTTCACTGTCTCAACTTTCGCTTGATATTCTCTCACATTATATTTTAAATATTTTAAAAACGTAAATATGACTTTTTAAAATAAATGATATTTTAAAAAATGTTTTTGTGTTATTAAGAATAAAAGTGTTTTTTGTAACCATGTTTTATATTCTCACATCATATTTAAAAATATGTAAAAAAAATACTTTTCTGTTATTAAGAATGAAAGTTTTCAAATCCACGATTGAATATAGTATAAACATATATTATTTAACTTTTTAATTTTTTGCTCTCAAGCTATATATCCGTAAAATATTTAAGAATAATCGAATTATATCAGATGCAAATTATAAAAAAACACGAAAATTTAGAAATTATTTGTAGAGTTCTTAAATATTTAAAAGTTCACAATAATGTATATATTTTTGCAAATTTCTTTGTTTTCTATTATCAAATAAGAAATTGTGAAATAAAAAATAGAGATTATAAATTTATTTAAATAATTCACCGCATGTACCAAGAATTTAATTTAAAATTTTAAAACATAGTACATGTATACACATCTATATTGTAGAGAGAAAAAGAGAAATATACACACAGTCATATACATATATGTATGGCCCAGAAAGATATATTAGAGAGAGAGAAGGAAATACACAGACATATACACACATGTGTGACCCAGATATTTAAAATTTTGGTACTGTTATAAATTGCAGAATTTGTAGAATAATTCAGATCGGTAAAAATATAATCAATACAAAAGTGTGCCATCGCGGCATATTGATATATCGTGTTTTATCAGATTAAAAATAGACTATCAAAGGAAGTAACAAAGGCTGGAAAGATACCAACAACCGAGACGGTATATTATTTCCTGATTGAGAGAGCGCGTGCCAATATGCATTTGATCATGTGCATGAGCCCGATCGGCGATGCCTTCAGGAACAGATTACGGCAGTATCCTTCCCTGATCAATTGCACGACCATCGATTGGTTCTTGGAATGGCCGAGAGAAGCTCTCCTCGAAGTTGGCAACAAGTTCCTCATGAATCTCAATCTGACGCTCACTATCACCGGCGAAAATAAAGTGGTAGGTACGCCCTTCCCCTTTCCGCGCGATCGATTCCATTCGATTCGATTCTTACGATCAACGCGCGTTTTCTACCACCAATCTTCCACCCTCTCCTGCCCTGTCCTTCTTACCGACCATTTTGGCGAATCCGATTATTTTCCCATCTACGGTTTGCCTCATCCTGATGATACGGCCGTCTGGCGTATTTCTTTTCTTTCGGCCAAAGCTGAGATTGGTCGCTTAGATTCCGCGCGAGAATGCTCTTAGATCTATATATAATTTGTTTCAAGAACATATCCAAGATGCTACTGTATTGTTTTATTCCTCTTTATGCTCCTCGAATAAAAATTACATTAATAAAGTGTTGACACAGTCAAATAAATATTTCAATCGACATAAAAAGAAATGTTTGTTCTCTTATTAAAAAATTTATAAAATTTTTTCTTTCCATTTCAAGTATATGTATATAGATAAAACTATTATAAAGAGTTTTCTCCCTATCCGGACGAATCTCTTCTTAAACGACGCCGCTTTCGGATTATCAATTTATTATTCATATAGCTATTAGTCTTAATGCATTTATGACTCTTGATACCATTACATCTACTTTACAAACGTCATAAAACGAGGATATTTCATTACTTTTATATCTTTGAATAAAAATGTTAATTAAATAATTAATCGCGCATTTCAACTCTAATTATATTATCAAATATAATTAGCTAAATATAGAGAATAGACGTTTGTTAAAATGTGCACCCATAAAAAATCGCTGGTAATCCCGGTACGCAATGGACGCTCTTTGTGCAGTATCATTTTATTACGTCCATATATGCGCAAAGCAAAAGGTGGATGGATACGGGGAGGATACAGCCAGTTAAAAAATTCACACTGCAATCGTAACGAACGCGAGTGTTACGAGGATGCACTTTTCTGCAGGAACCGCGGCAATCCGCGACGGCTATTCCATTGCCGCCGTTACAGGACCGAATGCGCGATGGAATTGCAGCATCATTCTCTTTGATCCACGACACGGTGTCCCAGTTCTCTCGCAGAATGGCCGTCGAAATGAAGCGTTACAATTACGTGACTCCTGTGAATTTTATCGAGCTGGTAGTCGGTTATAAAGAGTAAGAATTGAATAAAAACGCGAAAGCGTCAGAATCTTCCTCCAAAATTTAAGATTTTTACAAGATAATTACAAGATAATTAATATAGTATATTTATGTTCCTTCTGTAATATCTGTAATGTTTTTAATATCTTTAATGCGAAATCACGTTACACATGTTGTATTCGTATCACGCAGGATGCTGGCAGAAAAGCGACAAGATTTAGCAGACCAGGCGAACAAACTTCGCGGCGGCCTCTCGAAGATCGACGATACTCGGGTGAAAGTTAAAGAAATGGCGACGGAGCTCGAAGTCACTCAGCAGCAAGTTCATAAATCTACGAGGGAGTGCGAAGAATTCCTCGTAACGATAGGTACACGGCGCACGCGACAGTGATATATTATCAGTGGCATTTATCAAATTAATCTATAAGAACTTATTGCTTTTAACGCTCTGGTTCTAACTTTCCTCTTGCGTACTTAATTAATCATATGGTATTCATACTTGCACCGTGTATCGCTTTTAACTGCTTACGACGTGCAGCAAACCAACGTCGCGATGCCGATGAAACGCAGAGGCAGGTCACCGCCAAATCTCAACGTATCGCCGAGGAGCAAAAAGAATGCAAGAAGCTCGAAGAGCTCGCGCGAGCTGACCTAGCAACGGTCGAACCTGCCTTGAACGAAGCTATGAAGGTTGTTACCGAATCACCGAATTCTTTTCCAACGTCGCTTATCCAGTTTCGAACAATTTCTCTGATTGTTTTCTGCTTTAATATCTTTCTCATTGCATATTTCATATATTTTTGCAAATTTTTATTAATTAACTTTTTATTAAACAACTTCATTTTTGTGATATTTTTAACGAAGTGATTCGCAGCTCTTTTTTCACTACAATGAATATGCAATGTTGAAACAACAATAGCTTTGGATTATAAATGATTGAAATTAAATGGATTTTATTTCGTTATTAAATTTTTATTGCCGAGAAATTTATATAGTTCACAGAGAAAGAAAAGGCAAAGCAAAGATATGTTTTAAATATTATTTTGCTTGATAATTTACTTGCTCCAAAAAGATATTTCTCACTAATTAAAGAAACAAATTTATTAAGAATTTAATATAAATTAAACATTACATAAAGAAATGTTGACGATTATTTTAGGCATTAGAAGCTTTGAGCAAAAAAGATTTAGCTGAAATTAAATCCTTTACGCATCCACCGCCGAAAGTCGAGATGGTGATGGAAGCCGTGATGATTTTAAAGAACTCAGAACCGACATGGGGGGAGGCAAAACGTCAACTCAGTGACGTAAACTTCATTAATACGGTGAGAGACAATGTTGCGACTGGCGCACAAGACTATGTTCATACTACTCGTTTCTCAAACTAACTAACTTGTTCTGATTTGATTTCCAGCTTCGAGACTTCGACAAAGATCATATATCGGACAGAGTTCTACGAACAATAGCCAAGTACACGTCCAATCCCGAATTCGATCCTATAAAGGTCGGCGTAGTATCTGTTGCAGCTAAGTCACTTTGCATGTGGGTGATAGCTATGGAAAACTACGGCAAATTGTATAGGTAGATCAAAAATTTACAAGATGTATACATATGCTTGTGTATATCTCTTTCTCATTTTTTTCTTTTCAATCTTAAATACTTGTGATTTTTATATAATAATAAAATCTTTTCATATTTTTTAAATTTAAGCTTTTTTTATATTGTTATTATTTAATTAATCGATTTATGTCATTCATCTTCCGTCATGGATGAAAATTTAATCATACGTTCACGATGCTTTGCAGAATCGTGGCACCGAAACGAGAAAGACTGCAGATCGCATTAGAATCATTGAAGCAGAAGGAAATAGCCTTAGAAGAGGCAATGCAGCAGCTGCAAAACTTACACGAGCAGCTCGAGAAATTACAACGGACGTACGACGCTAAGATGAAAGAAAAGGAGGATTTGATTAAACTGGTAGTATATCCCTGTTTCTTACACTTTACAATGCTAAAAATGACCTAAAATGACCTAAATCACGCAAAGCCAAGAAAGGACGAATCGATAAAGAAAGTCAGCTCACTCGAATTGATTATGCGCGTCCATTCAGTTAAAACTTTACTTAACTTTTTTAAACTATTTTACATTAATACCTGCAGAAGCCTGCATTCGCTCAATTTTCACAGGCAAAATGTATTCCTTAAGGAGGTTGTACATCCATAAATCCAATAAAACCTATAGCAAAATTCCGCAAATAAATTAAAACGTTACTTTCAATTAAATTCCCGATTGTTAATGTTTACGTGATGATAAGGTCCTTTAATAATAATAATAATAACAAAAATATTTGCAAAAATATATATGTCATTTATTATTCATTTATTAATTTATAGAAAAAATATATTCTTATAAAATATTTAACATTTGTTTGAATTTTATTTTTACTTTTGACAATTCAAATCAAAGGTATTCGTATTTTCTATTTTAAAAAATGTCTATTTTATGTACATTTTTTTTCAGGCTGAATTGTTAAAGCTAAAACTAGACCGTGCAGCGATGCTGGTAGATGGGCTTTCCGAGGAACGAATTCGATGGGAGAACACAGTAGCATCATTAACCGAATGTTTCGAGTGGTTACCGGGTGATTGCTTGATATCTACCGGATTTGTGTCGTACTTAGGACCGTTTACCTCCAATTATAGGCAGGAACTTATAAGTATTTGGACCAAGGAAGTAAGTTCGAGAATCGTTCTTCGAAACTCTTTATCATAATTTTTCATCAAATCACGTTACAAATTATCTACCTAAAGTTTGCAAATTAATAAACTATTTTACACATAACTCCAATTGTGTATTTCCAAAAATTATTACTTGCAACCAACTAAAGAATTAATTTTTGTTATTCATCTTTTACATTTTTTAAATTTTTCTTTTGACATAAAAGTGATTCGTTTTATTTATTTCTTTTTAAATGTAGATTAGTGTTTATACGTGAATTTCGAATCGTTAAGGTGCAAAATAAAGAGATACCGACATCGCCAAACCTAGATGTGAAAGAGTTCCTAGTTGATCCATCGACAATCAGAGATTGGAACATTCAGGGATTACCGTCCGATGGATTCAGCACGGAAAATGGCATCATAGTAACGCGGGGAACACGTTGGCCCCTCGTAATCGATCCGCAATGCCAAGCGGCGAAGTGGATCAAAAATATGGAGGCGAAACACGTAAATGTTTGATATACGTTGTATGTCGATTTCCGATCAAAGAAACTGTAATAACATCTCTTCAGCAATATTGATAATTGGCTTTAACGTAAAATCAAATAACTAATATGAGATAAAACGATTTCAAATCAATACAATCCGAGAATTTACTTTGTTACTTTGATGTAACAATTATAATCGCAGTCACTGAGAGTAATCGACTTTGGTCAAGTTGACTTTATGAGAATTCTGGAACAAGCAATTCAGCTCGGAAGGCCAGTACTGCTTGAAAATATCGGAGAGACCCTCGATCCGAGCTTGAATCCGCTTCTCCAAAAAGCTTTCATTAAATCAGGTAAAACTTAACGTCAATATCGTTTAATTATATTCGCGTAATTGTATTACATTTATGAGAAAATACTAAAAAAAAGATTCTTTAATTATTAAAATTAAGAGATATTAAATAATAATCAATAATTAAACTTCTGTTTAAATCGTTAAATGAACAAAAGATGAAGAGAAAACCGATATACGATATAATAAAATATTAATATCTTTTTAATAATATCTTACTCGATGCTCAATATATGATTAATTCTTTGTGGAACAAAAATTACGTTCAGCATAAAAGACAGTAATTAATCTTTTTTCCATTTGCTTGAAATTTTTATCATTCAATATTTCCGATGCTAGGCGATCAAATGATGATCAGATTTAACGATAAAATGATTACTTACAACAATCAATTTCGGCTGTTTATGACTACAAAGCTTTCGAATCCCCACTATGCCCCGGAGATTTCAACTAAAACGACATTATGCAACTTCGCCATTAAGGAGCAGGGTAACTAATAGTCTTACAGTATATACTTTAGAGAAAGATGGAACAAGATTAGGGAATATAACTCTGTCCTACATGTAGGTCTCGAAGCGCAGCTCCTCGGGATCGTGGTCAGGAAAGAGAAGCCGCAGCTCGAGGAGCAGAAAGACAATCTGGTACTTACAATTGCATCCGATAAACGGGCTCTCAGAGAACTAGAAGATAAAATACTTCAGTAAGATTTACGAAAACTCCTTAAACCTTGAATGTCCAAAGCCTTTTGCTTTTAAGTGCAATCACGATACGCTTTATTCTGTATATAATTCAATATAAAACCATTTTTCATCATTCGTTCTTAATGCAACTTAGAAGTAATTGACCAAAGCAATTTACAAGGTATATAAATATGTTCTATGTATTCTATCAGTTTGCTCAACGTGGCGGGAGAATCTCTTCTAGATGACCTAGACTTGCTGAATACTCTGCAGACATCAAAGGCAACATCTATCTCCATTCAAAAGTCTCTAGTTGTTTCTGAACAGACAGAAAAAGAGATAGATTTAGCGAGAGAAGGATATCGACCATGCTCGAAACGTGCCGCGATTCTTTTTTTCGTTCTAAACGACATGAGCGTCATCGATCCCATGTATCAGTTCTCTCTCGACGCATACAACGCACTGTTTATGCTTTCCATCGACAAAAGTCCTAAAAGAACAAAACTGTTTGAAAGAATCGACAGCCTGAACGAATATCATACATACGCGGTTTACAGGTATAATTGAATACAGAAAAAGAGAGAGAGAGAAAAAGAGTTTTATCTTTGTTATATAAAATGTTATAAGATGCTATGCTTTTATTATTTTATTAATAAATAATATTTGCAACTTAAACTCATTTACTAAAAATATAAACATGTTTTTACTTCATATTTCAATTACATTTCAAACAAATTTTTCAAAATTAAATTAAAAAGAACATATGAGAGTAAAATATATATAATTAAAAAAGAAAAGATTTGGATGAAAAATATTGTGTGCTTTTAGCGGTCTCTCATTTTTTGTACAATATTGTAAATTAATATTTCATGAAAAAACTAATGAAACTTGAAATATTCATATTTAACGTAATATAACATTATTATAATCCTCCTATTTTGCGGATGTTTTGAGGGAGAGAAGAAACGTATGACTCTAAGGAAACTTGATGCGATGGATTTTATTTTTACGGATAGGAACACATGCCGTGGTCTGTTCGAGCAGCACAAGCTACTCTTTTCTTTTCACATGTGCGTCAAGATATTGGATGCGCAGGGTAAAATCATCCCGGGAGAATACGCGTTTCTGCTCCGCGGCGGAATCGTGCTGGACCGAGAAAATCAGCCGGACAAACCCGTGTCGTGGCTGCCGGATGAAACTTGGGACAACGTCACTGAACTCGACAAGCTACCCGGATTCCACGGAGTCGTTTCTTCTTTTGAGCAGCTGCCGCGTGATTGGCACAATTGGTGCGTACAATGTCACGTTATTTCGCTTCATCCTTTCTTGACAAGTCATTTTCACGATACTTATCATTTTTCATATTCCATTTATTAATAATATTTTTTATTTATAATTATTTATAATATTTTATTATATTTATTACAAATATAATTGTACTAATAAACAAACGTTTTTATATAGAAATTCAATATATTTATCAAAAATATTTTATTTGACTTTATAATATAACTAAATCAAATATATAATTTTTTCTCTTTTTATTTTTTTAAATTATGATGACAAAACTACTACATAAAAAAATATTTTACGATTATTTATTTAAATTACGTTATCGTCTGTCAGAAGTATTTTACGCAAACACGTTTCTATGTAACGTTTTCTTATCAATCCCTTTAATATCTAGGTATATCAGTACAGAACCGGAAACTGTACCGCTAGTCGGCGAATGGGAGGAAGGGTGCACCGAGTTTCAGAAAATGTTATTCGTTCGCAGCTGTCGACCTGACAGAATATCCTTCTGCATTACGACTTATATCGTTCGCAATCTCAGTCAAAGTTTCGTAGAACCTCCTGTACTTGACCTAAAAGCGGTGTTGGATGATTCCGTGGCACAGACACCATTGATATTCGTTCTTTCACCCGGCGTGGATCCCACTGGCATTCTTATGCAGTTAGCTGACAATCAAGGCATGTCTGCTATGTTAACGACGTTATCACTAGGCCAAGGACAATCTCCCATTGCCACGAGGTTAATAAAATTTATACATTATATACATTACATACAAATTTATACATTATATATATACTTTGTATACAATATACTTGTAATATCTAAGATACTCTAAATTTTTAAAGAGAAATTAAAATTGAATCATATTTTTCATTTCTAAATTTTATTAACAAACTTATAAAACTGGTGCATTGATAAAAATTTATTATCCAAAAGAGTGAAAAATAAAATTAGTACTTATATATAGTTGTGTAAAATTATTCTCATCGAGTTTCATATTTCTTTATTCTCTGCGCAGCATGATACAGATCGGTGCCAAAGAAGGATTCTGGGTATTTCTTGCGAATTGCCACCTCTCGCTCAGTTGGATGCCCAAGCTCGATAAGATTGTGGAAATGCTTGGTTCCAGCCAAACTTTACATCCAAGATTTAGGTATATGCCAGAGTTTTATGAAATACTATCTCATATTATTTTCACGCAATACTATATCTTTTGCATATACTGCGTCAAAAATTATTAAAAATTTTAATTTCTTGTATAATTCATAAAACAAACTAAATAAATGATAAAATTATATTTATTACGAATATATATAGACATTGATTATTACGATAAATAATTAAATGTATGGGAGTAGATGTTTAAAAAAAATGCGTTAATTCTTTCACAGACTATGGCTTAGTTCGAGTCCGACTTCTCAGTTTCCTATATCGATCCTTCAAGCCGGGATAAAAATGACTACCGAGCCGCCAAAAGGATTAAAAGCCAACATGAAACGCCTTTACGGTTTAATTACCGAAACTCAGTTCGACTTGTGCCAAGAAAAGTCTAAATATAAAAAGCTGCTATTCACACTGGTCTTCTTCCACTCTATTCTTCTCGAACGAAAGAAATTCCAACAACTTGGCTGGAACGTTGTCTACAGTTTCAACGATTCTGACTTCGAGGTATTTTCGAACAAAGTTGCGGCATGTACGCTGCAGAAAGCTTTTTTATCTATTCGCTATTTATTTTATAAGCACACAAAAGGATATCTCTCAGAAATCAAGCCAGCGCTTCTCATGGCGGTTAAATTCTCGTCACAGTGACGCTCGATGATGGAGAGGCACGATTGTCATAATAGCAGGATATCTGTTCCAGGTCTCTGAGAATTTGCTGCAAGTTTACCTGGACGAATATCCAGTCACACCGTGGGAATCTTTGAAATATCTCATAGCAGGTGTTTGCTATGGTGGTCACGTGACCGACGACTGGGATCGCCGCTTGTTGATGACATACATCCAGCAATATTTCACGGAGGACGTCCTGACTACCCCCCATTATCGTTTGTCATCGCTGCCCACCTATTACGTGCCCCGCGACGGTTCCTTGGAGTCCTACCGCGACTTTATCGCGATCCTGCCGAATGTCGACAGGCCAGAAGCGTTTGGTCAGCATCCAAATGCGGATATCACTTGCCTGATAATGGAGACTAGGAACATGTTTGAGACTTTGATGAGTCTTCAGATAGAGACAGTCAGCGCAGAAATTGACGAGGACAAGGAGCATAAAGTAAGTGAATTGAAGTGATTGAATTTCAAGCTTACATTTCCTGTTTGATTTGAAGACAAAGTAACGAGCTATGAAGATAAATAAGATTTTACATCATTGAACTTACGAGAATTCTTGATATCTGTTTTCGTATTATTGGCATTCCGTTATCGCAACTTCATTAATCTTATCTTCGGTAATCCTGTGCTGAGCTCTTGTTACAAGCGAATCTTGTTACTCAATCTTGTCGTGTCTTACAGGTAATGCAACTCGCGAACGACATTCTCTCGAGAATACCGGAAACGATCGATTACGAGACAACAGAGAGACTGATAGGGCCAAGTAAGACGCCGCTGAACGTGGTACTTCTTCAAGAGATTGGGCGATACAACGCGTTGTTGACAAAAACTCGGGACAGCCTTGAGGAACTTGAACGCGGAATTAAGGGATTGGTGCTGATGTCTCGCGAATTAGAAGAAATCTTTGAGTGCATATACGAGGGAAGAGTACCGTCTCTATGGCTGACCGCGTATCCGTCTTTGAAACTGCTCGGCGCTTGGACGAGGGATCTAATCAATCGAGTCGAGCACTTCGCCAATTGGGCTCAAACCACTCATCCGCCATTGCTCTTCTGGCTAGCTGCGTATACATTTCCGACCGGATTCCTTACTGCGGTGCTACAAACTTCGGCGAGACTCTGGAACGTATCTATCGATTCATTGTCATGGGAGTTTACTGTCTTCACAACGGACGAGTCTGCTATAATCGAACCACCTATGGTAACTACGAGCGATTAGGCTAATTGCTCATCCGACCAGCTTTGGTCCAGGACTGCTAATATCGAACATCACTTTAACTATAAGAAGCTTACACTTCTTGCTGGATTAACGCTGCTCATTCATATAAATATCTCGTTTATGTAAATTATCCGTTCAATTATGCAATATAATGCTGTTTGACTTTCGGGCGAAAAAAATGGACATTAAAAGGTCTGTCATTGCCACGTGTGCGACATATTTCGTACACAGCAGAGACTTATTGTATCAAATATATAAAAACTTAAACGCGAGAGATTTTCTAACTACAATGTCGACATTCTTTCGATTGTCACAGATCTTTTTCAGCACGTGCAAAAAATTGACAAACTATCGTAAATAATATATTGCTCTTATCGATTATTTAAGCGATTGTATTATATTGTTTAACTTTAGGATGGCGTATATATCCGTTCCATTTTTCTGGAGGGTGCTGGCTGGGACAAAGGGAATGGCATTCTCATTGAACCCGCACCCATGCAACTCGTATGCAACATGCCGGTGATTCATTTTCTACCTGTCGAACAAGTTAGAAAAAAAGTCAAAGGTAAAGCTAATCACAAATAACAAACTTATTTTACTGCAATCGAGTTTTCATCGTGCTTACGATTATTTAAATTAAAAGAAGCAGTTTTTTCCATCATAATCAACATTTGCTTAATTTTTTTACAGAATTATATCATTGTCCTTGTTATTATTATCCCTTGAGGAGCGGCGATCAAACGAGATCTGCATTCGTCGTTGCTGTAGATCTAAAAGCTGGACCGCAAGGTCCAGATTTCTGGGTGAAACGAGCAACTGCGCTTTTATTAAGTTTAGCCGTATAAACTATATGTTAATTTGTGATTCGTAAGTTTCAGTTTAATTTTAGCAATAACATAAACGCATAATATATTTATTTGAAATAGTTTATCACATTACTCTATACTTTTTATTCATTATATAAATAATTGATAAAAACTGAATGTCTGTGTGGATGCAAACATGTTTATATATATCAAGAAACTAATTGTTATATAATGAGAGAAAGATTAATTTTATACATATACTAGACTTTGTTTTAAAAAATAAATAAATAACAATGTGAAATAAATAAGATTATTAGCACCATCTTTCGTGATTTCAAGCTACACGATATTCAAATATAATCATATAATATATAAAAAATATTAGGCTTTCTAATAATTTCCAAAGGAAGAGAAAAGAAATGTATACAATTATATATTATGGGTATATATTTTTATAAATTATATTTAAAACAAACAATATTTATAAAACTGTTACTCAATCGATATCAAAGTACCAAGGACTGATACTTACTAATATATAGAGTATACTAGTACCGATACTTGATACCTTCTATTTATCAACGAGTGTAAATGACGTTATTTTTATTATTTACAATAGATAACCACATTAATAAATATTGCAAAAAATGCAGATATTCAATAATATATATTAACATTTAATAAAAATATGTATATATATACTAATTATAATAATAATTATCATTTACAAGTCAAAGGTAGCTCTGGAAAAGATGAGTTGCTAAATAAAATAATTTTTAAAATATCATTTATATAATATATATTATAAAATATAAGATTTAAAGAAATTAGTTTTTTAACTTGTTAAAGAATCTAACAATCATTGAGCAATCAATTAGTCTTTTGCAATTAATTTTGTAAATAGATTAGTTCTATTTCACGTGAGCAATTTTAATATCAATTTGCTTCAAAAAGGATATAATTAAAGGGCATATTTTTATTAATATTTAGAATCGTGGTTCGGTGAAATACTTTATATAAAATTATATCTTGAAAATCAATAGAGATAATTAGAAATAACTTTAAGACAATTAACATTAAAGACAACTATAAATAATGTTAAATTAAATCGAATTCTCCAATTTGTGGTGGTATACAGAGAAGAAATTGATTCAGTTCATCGCGACAGAATCGATTTGGAGTTTCCGTATTTACGGTCAGTACATAAGGATACGAGACAGATTGAGTCCAGTCGAAAAAAAGAAGTAAAAATGGACGAGACCAGATTAAAGGTCACCAGTCTTGTTGGCGGATCACAAGCAGCAGGTCGCTCTCACAACTCTGACCCTCACGCAATTATTTCTTATTCTCGGTGTAATGGCGCTCGACGAAGATCCTGAAGTATATTCAGAGGTTTCTTCTATTCCCTTCACCCTGGGTTAATAGTACGAACATCATTTCCTTTTTCTCGCCTCAGGTGCTGTTGCGCGTCTCCACGATGTCCTGCCATTTGTCTACTCTTCTTCTCGATGTTAACATGAAACTACTCAACTCATTCACAAAGCTGGATTACTTTTTTATCACGATTTATACGTATGTGAAGTTTTCTCAGTGACATAAAAATGTTTTTAAGGAGAATATTTGTAATGACATGACCCACAGCGAAAATGTTTTAGATAAAACTATATTTATATAATCAAAAATAGTAAAAAAACTTTTTTATTTTCATGAATTTTGAATACATATTATTTAAAAAAATAATCGCGCACGTATATACTTTATAATTTTTATAGCATTAATCAAGTATTTTCGTATTAATTTTAACTGTTTGAATATCTCAAATACCTTCATCGTATAAAAAATTGTTATTACAGATGTATTCTCTTTAAAAAATCTCTGTTTCCTTGCCTCGCTTATATATTTTTTCATTTTTACGATGTACTTGTTTTTAATATTTTAACTGATAAACTTTAGAAATTGATTCCAGATTCCCTTACAAAAAGTTCTTTCTTCGTGAAATAAATTGAAAAACTTATAAACGTAAAGCTCTCTCTGAGAAACACAGTCAAACGACAGATAAAATCAGGATTTTAGGTGGTATAACGATAACTCGAGAAGTGAGAAAAACTAATTTGCATTTGATCTCGAAGCGAGAATAAATGAATACCTCCGTTAAATGAAATTGTATTGCATTGCGCACTTTGTGTCCGATGCTGTCCGAAGCAGAAGAATAATAGAGGCGAATGAGTAATAGTCGGACTAGATTCCTGAGAACATATTTTTCGCTGGAAAATCTCACACATTTCGACAATATAATGAAAAATTTTTAATTTCAAGATATTAATGAAAAGATATAAATAAAACACATACGTAGTTTCATACTATTAAATTAATTATTTACTACTGGACAAAAATAATATGAATTTACAGCATTTGCATATATATATATATATATATATATATATGTATGTATGTATATATGTGTATATATTTATAATATATTTAAAAAAAAAGAAAAAATATATTTATATATATTTATATTATTATATTTATAATTGTATATTTTTATATATATTTATATACAATGTATGTATTTGAAATGCAGATATTACAAGATATTATGTAAAACGTTTTGTATTTTGCATAACAATCCGCAGAAATTTTCAAAAAAAGAGATGTGTAAAATTATAATGTATCTCTTGCAATCATTCAATAATATCAATTAATCAAGCATTATTATCCCATGAACTGCATTCATTATTTATTTCTAATCCTCAATGAATATATGCTACATATTCCAAAATCCCGGATCTAAAAGGTCTCGGAGGTATTTAATGCGCTGCTATCTATATGACAAGAAATTATCCATTCTCGTATTATCATTAATTATCAATATAATCATATATCGAAACAATAGAGACTATCTACGTCACATAAAATATCAATAATATTAAATAAATATTTATATTACTCAGTACCTAGTCATAAAAATATGACGTTTCTTTTTACAACGCTTCTATCCGATGACAATCGTAAGAAGAAAAGTTCGCTTGCTACATCATCGAGAGCTAAAATAATGAGAGGGCCTCTCGTTATCAGTATCGGAATCGAAAAAACGCATCGATACTCGATACGAACCACGCATATCCTTAGAGATATATCTCTCCCTATAGGCATATCGCGGATCTTGCATCTCGAACAGAATCCCCGCCGCGGCTGAACCGCCTGAACCGCCTGAACCGCGGCAGTAGTGGCGGTGGTGGGGGGAGACCGGGGAGCTGCGGGCCAATCAAGCGAGCGCGACGGGCGACGCCAGAGGCGCGCAGGTTCCGTATCGCCGGGCAGCTTCAGAGCGAGCGTGGACGTCCGCCGAGGCAGAGCTGCCCCTCGGTAACTCTCGCGTTCGTTGTATTTTCGGCGCCCCGTAAGTTTTCGGTAAGTGCTCGGCATCGCGGACGCGGACGACGCGATTTACGCGCTCGACGATCGCCACGCTCGCGCGCGAGTGCATCGTCTTGGTCGATCTTCCCCCCTCTTCCCCCGACCAGCCCTCCTCCCCCGCTAGTGAGAAACCGAACGCGACCCGGCGCGCGCTGGTCCGTCTCTTCTGCGAAGAAGCAGCCTCTCGGGATCGAGGGGGTGAGAGGGAACGATAAGACGCATAAACGCGTTTTCGCGATTTCGACGTAAAGCCATATAATAAGTTAAGAAACAACATTGTTAAGAAAGAACATTGCCGCGATTCGGCGTAACGCTGCGAAGTTGGCGCAACATTACGAATGTCGAGAACGGTGGCGTGAGTGTTGCTGGCGGAATCGAGTGAGAACAGAGTGTGTATTTCCGGGAAGCTGAACAGAGAGCGAACGACGTGATCGCGTGATATATTCGGTTGTGCGGTTAATTTGAAATCGACATAGCAACGTCCCGTCGATTTTGTATTGCACGTCACCGGTAGAGGCTGATAAGTCGCACAAAGTCGTGGAATGTAAATACGCGCGCGCGCGCGCGCCCCGCGTTGTGTGTGTGTCATCGACGGTGGGATTGGAATTGTTGACAGTGATGATTTCGAAGTGCTCCTCGATAATTTGACTTTATTTATACACATCTCACACGTGAAGGCATCGGACATCTTTGGAATTCCTGTGATTGAGAGGTATGTGAATGTTACAATATTTATATAGAGTGTCCTAGAATCGTGATTAATATATTTTCGATAATAGATTCTTGATAAATTTGAAGTCGAATATTTTATTAGAACCTTTTAATATTTCAGTATCTTGTGTGTGATAATAATATTAAGATTAAAATCATCAAATTAAACTGAATAAAAAATAAATAATGGAATTTTTATAGATTTAATATTCAAAGATTTAATTTATAAAATGCTATTTCTTTTCGATTATTCACATATTCAAATAATATTAATATTGCAGTAAATAATAAACGGCTTCAAATCGATCAAAGCTTCTATTATCATGGATAAACAAACAAGCAAATCGAAAAAGAAATAATATTTTATGAAAAATTTTTAATTTATACATATGTCTTATCTCATATTTTTGATAACATTAAAAAATTTATTTCACATTCATAAAATTTTCAGATATATTATCTTTTGTAACAAACCGGTAGAAAGAATATTGCTTTATAAAATAGAATAGTAATAGACATTATTAGAGGTCCCATAAAAAATGATGAATGTACAAATTAATGATTACCTGATTTTTAAAAAATTTCTTGGAGCAAACTTTCAAAAAATGTTACGCGATATTATTATATAAATATTGAAAATAATCGCATAATGTAATTATTCACTTAATATAATATAATAATGTTATCAAAAAATAACGTAAGACTATACGTTAATCTCGAAAATTCAATTTATTTAGAATTCGATTTATTTCGACTTATTTAGAGGAATTTCGTTGAAGTCTCAACGATTAAAAATTTTTTCAAATATTCGAACTGTCGTAAACAACGTCTGCGACGAATGAGAGAAACAAATCGAACAATTTTATGCAAGATCTATGGGTGTCCCTCGTGGGGCCAATACGAAAATATTGACGAATTGCAGAATGCAACGAGAGCACATCTGGCGCAGCGCATATGCTTGTTTACATTTTCGAATTTATTTGACTCAAGAAATGTTTGTTTAGTGCGCGCTGTACGTGATAACAATACAAATGTTTTTTTCCAAATATTACGTTTGCGATGCGACGACGATATCGATCCTGCTTTTCTTTTTTTTTCTTGAAGTCAGTCTAAATGAGCGAAAAGAGAATTATTGCACAAAATGTCGCAAACTTTGGATACACTTGGTGAGCATGCGGAGCATATCTGATTGCGAAATATTCATGACTTGCCTTCACGGCTGAGTCATTTAATTCGTTCACACAGGCTTACATATAAATTTTAAACACAATATAATACAATACAATACAATTATAATGAATGGTATTGTTCAAAATGTTAGAAACTAGTAGACGGCATGTAAGATTTGAATAATATTTATCTGATCCGGGTCTTAAAATATGGTCGTACATCACGTGATATTTGGAAATCATATTTCTTACAGATCGATTTTTCAGAAATTTTACTATTGAATAATGAAAATATTTCTTAAATATAATTCGACAGAAACTTATTATTTATATTTATTTTTTTTATTCGTAATTAATTAAAATAATTAATTTTTATTTATAATTTTAAATAAATAAATTAACTAAATAAATTATTAAGTAAATAATTGTATTTACAATTAATTAAAATTAATTAAGAAGAAAAGAATAATTTTATTCAACAAAGAATTTTTCGCCCATGAAAATATAGTATACAAAGCATCTCGAATAACGATGGAGATAAAATTTCATACGATGTAATTCAATAACGAAGTAATCTGAAAATATTTGATACCGTTTCTATTTTTATAAATCGATAAAAGCGCGATTATTTATAAAGCTAATTATCGAGTGCCTTTCAATGTTTTCAAATGAAAGAGTTAATTGCGAGAGCTATTATTAATGAGACTCATGTAGTACGATATTTACTTTTAACATGTGCTGAACGATCGATTATCTCATTACTTTTTTACCAAGCTTTTTGTACCAAGCTTTTGTAACATTACACGTACATTCGACGCGGACCACGGACGATCGACGTAATTGAGATCGATTGGTTCGAGATTGGGTTTTGGTCGAGCTCGAAACGAGGACGATAGGGTTATCGAGCGCGCACGTGTCGCACGAGCCTATTCTAGGAAGGAGGATTATTACGCTTCCTGGGAAAGACGAGAGGGTTTAAGGGAGGCCGTATGAGCGCGTGTTTCCAAATCGCATATACACAACGGTCCCGTTGTCCTCTTATCCAGATTTAGATTCACTATATGACGCATACACGTACGCGTTTCGTCATCGTAAACAACACGAATCTCGTTATTGTGTCGCCTCGTGGCTGTGATAAACTGATGTCTAACAATAAGCTCAGCTTGCGATCATCGTAAACATAGTTCATTGAATGAACTCGAGTTCACATTCATAGAAATATCTCGATGATTTTTTAGAATCGTTAACTTGAACGGCTTTTTGAACGAGAATCGACAATGTAATACATTTGCATATGATTCTAGCAATCAATTTTAAAATAATATGAAACGAAGTATGAAAAAATCATTTTTATCACAATGTACTGAATTTTAGAAGAATATGATTTTCACAATTTTTTATAATTTATATCTGTAAGCATTTAATTGGCATGCTTTTTAAATAATATTTATTGTTAGAAGAATATAATTTTCAGATTCATTCACAATCTTTTTATGAAATTTGACAAAAAAGCTCTTTAAATTTATTTTGCTTATAGATTTATTTACATATAAATTTATTTATAGATTTTTAATTTATATTTTTTACTTATATTTATAAGCACTTATTTGACATTTTTCTAAATAATACTTATAATAAATTTTTTGTCAAATTCGATTCAATTATTGAAATAGTGGCAATTGACGAACTGAGGTAATTGTTTCGCTCGGAAAACAATTTGCTTCGATTATGGGAAGGACGAATATTATATGCATTTCGGAAATACATTGCCGCGTTATCATACATCGCCCGTTTCAGAGGTAGTCGACCTGGCGAAAGTGAGTAACCCTCACGCATGCTCTCCAACCCCCGATATCGTAAGATACTTGAATGAGGGGTAGATGATAAAGAGTGTCCGCGCTTCTCCTCCTTCGTGGATAATATTTACCGTCCCTTTCCTATCTCGGGATATTCATGCACGAATACTCGCACCCTGTTGATAGGTGGATTTTTTTTACCGCTTGTACGAAGGGCTGAAAGCAAGGCTGAAAGTCTGACGGTTTGTTTCATGCGCCACGCCTTTCTTCGAGAAAGACGACTTCCTGAATATGAAAGTTACAGCCTCATCCTAGAGGACGTCTGGCGTTTTGCAAACGCGGAACATCTGGCTTTTTGTACCAAAGTTCAAAATAAAATTTAGTCGCCCTTTCAGCCGTTAGTTTGTAAACATTTTCAAAGTCCATTATGAAATTATGTCAAAGCATATGAACAATATTTTGCACGAGATGCATGTAATACAAAGGAATACATATTTTATATTTCCTTCATTTTATTCGTAACTCGCTTATAATTGATAGGAGATTTATCTTTTAAATCGTAAGAATAATTTTATGAAGCAAAATATTTTTTTAAATTATTTATATTTATGAAATGACGTTTTTCAACACGGTAAAAATAAAAATGTTAATTTTAACATGTCCCAGAAAGTCCACTCTAAATTTTCAGTTAAAATAACTCATTCGTTGTATGTTACTTATTGACAGACTAAAAATGTTAAATAATTGACATAATACTTTACATTTATTTTTGTTTTCGCGCGCGTGACTTTAAAAGTAATGTAAAAATAACAAATTAATTAAAAATTAAAAATTACATGAAAAAATAGTTACAATAACTTGTAAGAAATGTTGAGGTCATTAACATATAACATATAACATATAACACATAGTAGTTATTTTAACTTAAATTATTTGTAACAGAAACATTTTAGTAAATTTGATTATTTTGTGTCAAAGTTCAAGATTATTCGAAGATTTACTTTAACTTTTCTTAGAGTGTTAAACTGACTTTGAGACACGTTGATTGTTTAAAATGATTGTTAAAAATACTTAAAATAATATTCCATTCCTAAGAGATAAAGGGTCAAGTTATGAAGTTGACATAAATGTAACACATGAAAATGTTATAAAAATAATAACATATAAGTTGTATGTTAATTTTACATTAAAGTACTAATCGAAACGTGGTAACACAAGAAAATTGTATAAACAGATGGACGCGCAATTTTTTACCGTGAAGCAAAGAGAGCGAATTCATTCATGCTCGTCCTATTGTGTGTGAGATGAAATTGTACGCTGGAAATCAGAATCGGACACAAGCTCCGCGTGCATCGCATCCAAGTTATGTAAGCTGTATAATTCATGGCCGCGGGGAGAAGACCTAATCGATATTGTCTTACAGGACGTATTTACCAACTTTGGACGTGACGCGAAAACAGATTGACGTTACGAACGTAATGCCTAAATAAAATCCAGAGGAACTCCCATCTCTTGTCTTATACGTATGTCACGACGGATGTAGGTTATGACTTCATATCCTGTTCGTTGAAGCCGTTCGTTCCTTTCGCGGCGAGATTCGATTGAGCGCTTCCTTCATCGATTTTATGTCTTTCGTGTCTTGGAAGTTACACTTGCTGACGCGTAGCAAATTAATGATGTTACAGGGAAGTTGTATGTCATACATTTAGAAATCAAATTAAATATTTGATTTCTAAGTGTATTATATATAATTTTATACACAATCTTATATTTCATAAAAAATTACATAATTTTCAATGCTCATTTTTTTACAAAGAGATTTTTTTAACGCAACATAACTTATAAAAAAGGTCAATTAAGTCTATCATTCTCTCTGGACGACATATTCTTTCCCTTGCTGTTTAATATTATCGAGCAAGGAACGTATCGAAGTTAATTTTCGTTATCTTAACTGCAGACTTGAGGAAAAGTTTAAGATAATTTAATCTCTTATTACAAGAGAAAGATGGTAAATTTTTACGCATTTTACTTTTAAG